ATGACTTTCACGGTCAACTTGCACGGAGCATTTGGTGACGATGGCAGGTTGAAGAGCTGGTGGATCACATGCAGGATGGCTGCACTGCATCCTCCCCGTACCCTCTTCCAGTTGATTTCTAAAGACTAGAAATTATTTGAATTTCCATTTAACGCAAAAGGAGTTGTACCAGCGCCCTTTTGGTGCATTTCCGAGGGTCTCTGTGGATTTGTGTTCCCATCTTCACTTTTACATATTTGAGGGGAAATTTTTGCAGTACCTTAGGACACAGCTTCTTTTGATGTTCTGTTTACCTGACGGTAAACTTTTACTCAAAGACGCCCTGTTTTACACAAAGTCTGCATCTACTTCTACTAAGTGATACATTATTTGGGTCATTCTATCCAAAAATATGGAATGCCTTCTTGGAGTGGTGCCTCTCTTTTGCTCCTCTGACCATTAGCTTGAAAATGCACTGAAAGGTGGGCAAACATTCCTCACGAATTGACTTGAAAAAAATTCAATCGGAGAGGTTTTTTGGTTCACGCGACATGAAAGAGAGGCACACAATCACGCGGTCCTCCTCCTCTCTTTTGTGCCTTCCTCTGCCCTCCCTCCGTCTGTAAATAAGGTGCAAAAATCACTTTGAGGTAAATTTGTCTTTCCCCTTCTTGCCTTTGGCACCACAGTTGCAGAATCTTCCTTTTACACTTAAGACATAGGTCGATAGGAAATGTCTTGTACGAAAAGTGAAGTACTTTTTGACTTTTTTGGTGAATTTTGACTATTTTTTGTGTAAAGGACAGAAAAGATGAAAACATGATTCTCAAAGGCTAGACATTTGATCACACAATTGTCTTATATGATCGAAGTAACACAAGCGTGGCACATATGTTGACACCACCTTTCAAATGGTGCTAGTGGCGCTTCGTTCACCGATGAGCGCAGTGGAGAGTGGGGCGGGGACTTGTTTGGCTAATATGGCAACTTTGATGCCACACTTTTTATTTGTCCAACCCATCAGGTAAGCGTCGTCTCTGGGACATGATATAAAATCCGTCTTCCCGCATTCCCTCCGACCGGTCGGCCGGATTGGGCATTCAAACGATGAATTCGCAATCTGTCGATCGGAGGTTACATAGCATTCGAACTTTGTCTAGAGTGTCAATCCCCGGAATATCGGTAGACAGTGCTTTCCCTAACAGAGGCTGCTTTGTATCCTTCATATTGCTGCCTCGATAGGTGATGGATCTACACGGTTTGCGTTTTTCCTCGCTGAGCGAAAAGATGTAATTTTCTGTTGTCGGGTTAACGACTGGTCCTCTTTACTACCCCCAGCCACTATTAGCTCGGTTAGAACGAGTTAAGTGGTTGGATCAATCACCAGAAGTCCTCCCACAAACTCTTCCTTTTAGAAAATAGATAGTCAAAGAGGAGAGAGAAGAGGAAGGCTTTGCTTTTAAGTGGTCATCAAAAGTACTTTAACATTTTTCCTTTTTGATGGTCGCTGGTACACATTAACGGGCGTTGTAATGAATCCTCTAAGTGCTTGTCGCGTGGCTCACCTTTGCGTGTCAATCAATGCCAAGTGTTTTGTGTTCTTGACAAGTGAACTACTACAGGAAGTTGCCATCCAGAAATACAGAAAGGAAAATGTGCATGAATCAGCAGTATCTCGGTCTTTGTTGCTGTTGTGCTTGTGTGTGGTGATGGTTAGTCTGATTAGGCTGACTCAGGAGCACGGGTCTTTTCGCAGCCCCAGTCGTCACATTCAAATTTGCGCGCACCGATAAAAAAAAACAAAAAGAAAGTCACACCAGATATGCTAATGATGAGGCCCATGCACATTTCGGCCGTCCTCACATGCCTGCGTCCACACTGTCACAACATCTTCAACAGGCGGAACGACAAACTGATGAACCAACAAACTCAACAAGTGGTTGTGGACTGCAAAAATCCTGAGTAAAGAAGCGAAAGGGGGCAGAGTCGGGTACCTTTTTTTCCAAAAACAGACTTCGCCTCAATTTTAGAACTAGAGAACTTTCCTAGGGTGGCAAGACAGGATTCCCGTCACCCGCCGCCGTACCGTTTGTGTGTGTACTCGCACCCAAAAGTTGATCCGATTTCAATTAAATCGTTGCTGAATTCAATCGTGATTGGTCCACACCTCACTCACTTCTCTTCATCACCATAAACATGCATTATTTTGATGAGTAAATCATCTATGGGCAAAATTGGGATGCCAGCAAGCACTCACTTTAGCGCCCTTTGGTTGGGTACAACCACTTTCCACAAATTATTGAAGGCGTCACAAATGTTCAACTTTTCCTATCCCAGCACTCATAAATGGAGGCGAGATTCGGTGCTGCAGTGAGAGCCACCTCAGGTCCGATGCATCTGGACGTAAGAATTCACATTCAAAATGAGCCATTCATTAGTTGGAAAGAGAGCAAACTCTAGGATTCACTTTTTAACCTCTTTTTGGTCTTCGTCCTTCCTACTTCTTCTGTCCTCCTTTCTCGGGTGTGACGGCTTTTAAAATGGCCTTCCTTCTCGTGGCAAAAAGGTGAAATTCATGGGCGTTTAAAGGGTCAGTGAGAAGGAAAAAGTCCGAACACATGTACACACTGTGAGCTATTTCTGGACGTAGGTAAATCGCCCAGAGCGGGAGAAGTAAGGCAGAGGAAGAGAGGGAGAGCGAAAGCGAGAAGAGTGGAGAGCGAGAGAGCGAGGGAGCCTTGGAAATAGATAATAGCGCGTGTTGCAGCAATAAAAAGTAGCATGTTACCGTGATGACGGCTTCTTGTTTTGCCGCACTAATTTCTACACGGAGGCTTGCTTGCGTCTGTCACGCAACAACTGTTGCCACCTGAGCAATCCACTCGAAGTGGGACGAGATGCGCACCCACACACACACACACGCTGACATGACTGCAACAACTGATCCGAAAACTCATTCGGGCAGACAGTTGGCAGGAAGATAGGGATGAAAGTGAAATACGATCGGAGCTGAGAAAAGGGGACACGGGACGAGCAAATATCGTGTTGAATCAGCGTTTCGTAACACCGCCTTTTAGTCGTCTTCAGTAGCGCTACAGGTTGGATGCGGGTCAAAAGCAGCAAATGGAGGAAGCACTGTGAATGAAATATTTTTTGGCAAATGTATATTTTCAATCTAAGAAATATGCATCATTTGTAGGATAAATGGGAGAGGTAGACAAATGTTGTGGGGATCGGAAAGTTAAAATAGCCTCTAAGGTTGCAGGAGATGCTACCATTTTCACTTTGGCTGGTGAATTTGGCAAATTTTAAGGCCTGGTTCAAAATTTCCCTCAAAATGCAGGTCTGTAAGGTCTACCAGTTTTCTCGACCCGCGGTATCTGTCGGAAGTCTGCGGATCAAACTCTCCATAGGCCTCACATTTCGAAAAAATGACTTTGCCCCATTCCCTATCCATTATTACCGGAAAGCCTTCCCTGCAATTACTTGAGGCATGAAAGAGTTGCTTAAATGAGTCATTTAATTGTTTTCACGGAAACATTCTGCCCATATAACTTGGTAGTTAGGAAATTTACTCATTTTTGTAAGTGCAGGAAAACTTTGAACAGAGTCACCTGACGCATTCTGACATAGTCGACAAGACGGCATCATTTATAGCGGAGGTTGGTGTCAAGTGTTGGATGATTTGTTATTCAGGCTAGAGGAATGGAATAGTGAGAAAGCAGTTTGATAGCCGCAAATCTTGTTAAACCTTTAGCTTCTTCATTTATCACAAAAAACTGTATAACCGTTTGCCCATATCACCGAAAAATATGCGTTGTGAAGGAAAAAGAGTCGCTTTGATGTCTGAAGGGGCGGGAAGATGTAAGGAGTTCCACAACTTTTATCATCTGTGGCAGGGCTTGAAGGTGTGGCCAAACCCAAAATGCCAAAATCACTCATCAAGCAGTTGACCAGGTGCCTCAACTCAAAAACCCACCTTGATCATCGTGTAAAAACGCACTTCTCTAAAGAAGACGCCCATAGAGAATTGCTGAAGTCCTCCTCCTCCTCCCCCTTTCACACGGAAACAATTTATCAACTCAGATTTGTCATTTACTGTCATATTTAGTGTAAAATATCCACAACTAAATTTTTTCCGCAACTGTAGGACTTTAAGAACTTTTCCGTTTACATTCAGCTCTTTTAACGGAAACCCTCAATGCAGCTAAATCAGATCCACGAGTTCTTTTTCCCATTGCATTACCTGCTTCCAATTCATCCATGCTTCCAGTAATTTGATGTCCCTTTCGAGATATCACAACTTCAGTCACGCAAAATTTTCCTTAGCGTCTCTACAGCCTAATTTTTCTGTAACACCTCAAAAGGAGACACGAGATTTAGGAAGTCAATTTATTTGGGCGGGCATTCCATGCAGTATGGAGGCGAAATTACCACTCCCAAAGATCGTCACCTAATGGATGACCGTTTTTGGGTGCAGTTCTTTACTGCCTGGTGGTAACGGGTTAGCGATCCCACCTCCGCCATAGATGCGATAGTCTCGCTCACAGCGTCTGCTCATCACTACGGCCGCATCCATGTTGATGGACAGTGTCCGCACCGGACTGGAGCGGACCGACTACCAGTGAACTATAGGGCCCTCTTGTCAGTCAACGTCGCGTGTGTCTCCCCTACGGTAGCCCGCCTTTGTCCCCGATTGGAGGTGAAGGCATACCGTGTCTACTGCTCACTAGGCCTCATTCAGCCTTCAGCCACCTCAGTCATACCAGCGCCAATGGAAACAGTCCAGAAAAAAGTCACAAAGGCAACAAAGACCTCCATGAATCATGGATACCTGTCTAAGCTCGAGCAAAAACAGCTATTTTGTTGACTGTAGGCGTTTCGGTGCATAATTACGGCGCCTTGATGGATGTAAATATTTGAAAAGGCCTTAAAGTGGTTTGTTCCCTTTTTTACGGGCCATACAAGCTACTTATGATAAGTGATGTTAACGTTTTGGGATGTATTGGTTTTGTAGACCAATGCTGCACGTGCTGTCGAAAAAATCCAAGTCGAAATCGCACCAACGAAGCCAGCGCACTGAGACTTCGCAGGATCCAAGATGGGATGGGCTGGAGGCTGAGACTAAATCTACCACTCCTGACTGTCGTACGCAGCGCAAATTTCGCTGTACAAAGGACTCCTCTGTATTAATTGTCGGTGATGATCGTAAATTTGGAGGGTCTATTCGGACTAGGAGTACCTCATCACGACGCTCCTGTTCGGCGATGGTGACATTTGAATCCATCAAACCAACTCAAGTCTGGCAAGCCTCTGCCAGTCCCTCTCCCCCCACAACCTCAGCAACTACCAGACGCAGCTTTAAACCCAAGCGCCCAGTGGACAGTTTAGCTCTCTCAATGATCGCACAGACAACAGCCGAGAACCAATGGCTGTCAATGTCTACGGGTGACGAGGACGATCTCAGCGACAGTACAGATGATGAAGAAGGTGGTGAGGAATTGAGAAAGGAAGTGAAAGGGAGGAGGACGGACAGCGATCGAGGTAAACGCGCATCCACTTCAACCTCCCATCATCCGCGAAGCAGTCCTTCTAGTTCTGATTCCTCCTCCAGTTTTGAAATTTCTCGATCTTCCACCATGTCCGCTCGCCATCGACGAAAAAAGCAGTCGTCGCGACGACATAGGCGAGAAAACGCTGCATTTTCGTCGGGCTCTCCCACTTCTAGTGATTCTTCATCCAGCAGTTCCTCAAGTGAAGGCGATAATGAATTCGATCTGTGCTGGAAGATGAAGGCTGGTGGAAGTCTGCGAAATACCACACCAATCCAATTAACACCGCAATTGAAACGAACACCTCATCATCATCATCAATCTCTTGTACTTACACCGGCTGGAACACCACAAGTCCTGCCAAGATATCCTTCAACTCACCATTATAATCGTCCCCAGACCCTCAATTTGACTAACAGTTCATTTCCAAGACCAATGTCGGCAAGAAGTTCTTCGAAAGATCCGCCCTATGTACAGACAATTGCCAGAGCGGTGGAAGACTTCTTTCCTACGTTAGAGTGGATTGAAAAGTATAAGGTTATCAGTGTACATCGAGGCGATCTGTTGAGAATCATCCCTTACCCGGGTACAAATCCCGATCAAACATCACCCACTACTGGGTGGTTTCTAGCACAGAAGTGGTGCGCTGATCACGGGTCTGGAACGAGTCCAATAGGTTTTGTTCCGCGTATTGTATGCTCTTTTGTCTGCCCTGATAATACGCCACGATTGTCACATATCAGCCCCCGACACGCCCGTTCTCAGGATTACTCCATGAAGTTAGCCGAAACCGCTGTTTTCATGGCAGCCTCTCCAGATGTCAGTCAAACCGCTTCAGGAAGCCAGATGATTGCAAATCCCTCCATTTGTGACGCATTCTTGGAACCAATTCCAACTCGTAGCGTCTATCCCTCTCCACAGTTGAGCCTTCATAATCCTTGCACATCAGCCGTCAAAACTTCCTTCACATCGATTCCCGCGGTTTATGAGATTGAGGACCGGGACTCTGGACGTGGACCTAGCTCTGGCTCAGAATGGAGTAGTGGAAAGGGTGGAAGTCTTAGTGGGGCAACGGATATAAATGTAGACGACAAAGATCAGCCTCAGCCACAAACGCAACCGCAATCACAGCACCAACAGCCTGTTACAACTAGGTCCTCTTCTTCCTTGAAATGGTCTCCAAACGGAAGCTATCAACGAAGATCCTCCTTTGATCAACAATCTGGATCTAATTTTTCTTGTCCTCTGCCACCACCACCCATGGCGTTGTTGTCTCACGTATGTACGGAGGCTGTAGGAGAGAAGAAACATTTGACAACACCAGCGACATCAGCGACTGCATTTTCAGTCTCTGATACAGAAGCTGGCGGGTCTATCTGCTCTTCTTCAGGGACAAGAACACGTCTCTATGTGCGTGGATCAAAACCACTCCCTTCAAAGACGACAGAAGGAGATTTGGGAATGGAGAACGAGGCGAAATGGAGAGATGAGAAAAGTGGTAGTTCACTAACTCCAGAGGAGGCTGCTGACGAGGAGGAGGAAGGCGACACTAGTGGATCACCCCAGTCCACGGTAGTGGTAGTGTCGTCAAACTCGGATCCTGCGCATTGGGAGCCCTACAAAACCATGATCCAGGTAGGGCAAAATAAACTGGAGAAGTTCACCCTCGTGTAGTCAATACACATTACTGCTGACGCATGTTCATCACTCTCAGGTCTTTCCCTCAGGTGCTTCCTCCAGAATACTTTCCCTTTAGTGCAACCTTCCTGTCCACTCATTCAATCTTTGCATCACCAATGTACACATTGCCACTCACGACAGGTCAAAACGTTGTTTATCTTCATTTTCTTCAGAATCCTCTATTGACAGTACAAATGAGTTGTTTTCAAAATTGTCAGCTTTTTATAGAAGAGGAAGTGAAGAAAATAATGTAGGGAATTCTTCTCGAGTGCGATTAATGATTCAGTACTTGTCCAAGAATCTTCCTAATCTAGAACCGGAGGTCTTTTCCGAATGGAAGGTGTCCCAGTAATGAGCTATGCATCTCCGTTTAATAATCTTTTTCTGGGTAATAATGGCTGAACCAACGCATATGTTGGGAATGTCCAAGAATTACTCCCCGAATGGTGTTGATTGACTTGTTCGAAATCACACCGTCCGCGCTTGGAATGCAAGGGTTTCGACGTTTACTGAAACCTACTTCAGGTATTTTGGGCCATCTCATAGTTGATGCCAGCAGTCACTTAATACATTTTATCTGATCCAAATATACTGAATTCTCAAAATAATGGTTACTAATAAAGTAGTAAATACGCGTTTTGTGTCTCATGAAATTATCCATTGAGATTGTTACCAATTTTAATCTGACGTAAATATTCGCAAAATGAAAAATTTTGAGGGATGTGTCCTGACAGTGTATGTGATATTCAAGAATAGACTAAGTATCATTTAAATAGATAGAGATTTGGAGAAGATGTATTAAGAAAATGCTCTTAGGGGGATGTTAAATAGAAAACTAGTAAAAGGATTTAACACATACGGTAAGGCAGAGTTGGGAGAAAATACAAGAATACTCTTAAACCACCAACTGCTTTTACTGCTTACTAGCTTGTTCGAGTAATTTGAGATCAAGTTGTTGAACGTGCAAAAGAATACAATAAAAAGCCAGAAGCTGCAACTAGTAAGTTAAAATTTAATTCCAATTGGGAAACAAGTGCAAACATTGACGGGCAATAATGAAGGGATAAGAAAAAGTGTTAATAGGGGCAATTAAGTTTAAGGGAAAAGTTGAAGGAAAATTAACAGTGAGGTGGGAAAACTTTAGGACTAAATGAGGGTGAAAAATGTGAAGGAGTAAGTGGATAAAGGAGACCGAAGAGCATTGTGCTGGTGGAGATGATTTAGTGAGGGAGTATGTGCAAGTAGGAAAGAATGGTTGAGTTAGGTTAAGGTGAGGTGAACAAGGCATTCAAGACGGGTGTGCAGACCCGAGATGGGACTGATAGTTTGGTTACGCTTTAGGTCAGGGACAGGGTATAAAAGTGAACGTCGTTTCAGAAAGATAAAATATCGCTACTTAAGCTTCGCTTCTGGTCCAACCCCTCTTCTGCTTCAATATTGCTGCTCAACTCTCTTGAGGTGCCAAATAAAACGTTTGTAGGCAAACTCTCCACTGGAGAAATATTAGGGAGAGATTTTGGTAACGAGAACTACGATTATGGATGGTCAATGAACTTTATAAAGAAGAAGAGAGAAGAAAGAAGAACAAAATTATGCTCATTAGTTGCCCAAATAGCTCTTCGTAGAGGAGAAGCGAAAAATCAGTACTAGTCCCGTACTTGAGTTGTGCGAAGGCCCTATTTCTCTTCTTAGTCTGAATCTCTTTAGAGGTGCCAAAAACTTCTCGAAACCAAACTTCACTGGTTTAGGCTGTGGTGCAGGACCATCAAAACAGGAAAGGGACGCAGCGCCCCAAGGCTTTAAACTAAGTAGAGGAGAGCATGAAGTTGCGCCGAACACATGCATCCTCGGACTTCAACTTGGCTCGAAGGTTACGCAAGACGAATACCAAAGCAATTGCCACATGTCAATATCCGACATGCTTTCGATTTTCATAAATAGTGTTTGATTTAACTTGTAGCTTCCCGAGACCTTTCTCCAGGTAGAAGAAGGCAGTAAGTGGGGCTGAATACATGTATTCCGGGGTAAAAAAACGTATTTAGGACCGTGCTTCACCCGAAAACCAACCCACCTGTGCAAGGGCCAGGCGAATCTTATAGTAACCGCCAAACATCAGGTGGCCACATAAACAAAGTCCAACATCATGAAGCATAAAATATGTTTGGAAGTGGTGCAAGGTATTGGCAGTAAAAATTGTTTGAATGGTTTTAACTTGTCCTACTTGGCCTAGAGCCAACGAAATATCTACTGACTGTGTTTCGAATGGACACTATTCGGCTTCAATCTGATGGCTTTGAAGCGCTTTTATTTACACCTATTCGCTTGATCAAATTTCGCCTTACAACGTATTTCTATTATAATTGAGTTTAATGACCGTTAGTTCTTATAACTTTTCTCATCGTACGCGTCCTTGGGGCTTTGTAAATTGAGTCCCTTATGTGGCTACCTAACCTACTTTCTATTCTTGGCCCGAGTGCTTATTACCAAGGCAGCTGTTTTGTGTGAGTGTACCTAGTACAATCACAGCTTCGTCTCGTATGAGATATGGTCCACCATTTTTTCAGACTTGTACGTTTAGTGGTTCGAAAGTTTCCTATTTTCTTTGGAAACTTAACTCAGCTTTGCTGTTGCGCTATCTTTTGCATGCGCGAAAACTGATGAAATAGACCTTCTAGTAATTTGCTACCAATGCATTTGGATCTATCGCAAAATTCTGAGCTTTTATAATTTTTAAAAGTTACTCTTTGTGTTTGGCGACCCCAATTTATGGGTAAGGCTAATATGTGCATTCAGCTGCATGCCATTTGAAGTGTATATTTTGTTACCTCGTTAAATCGTGCACTTAGGTTTTAGACCTTTTTTACCATTTCGAGGTAAATTCAATTGCTATCCTTTTCGCCGTGATCTTAAATGTTGTCTCGACCCTGCACGTTTCTGGCGAATGGAGCACAGATAAGGTTTATACCTTCGTGGCCCGGTTTGCTTTTCAAAAGACCGCTGTTGATGAAATAGAAGCCACTCGAGGCTATATCTTTGGGAACATCACCAGCCTGGATTCTTCATTCAGTATGTTATCTCCTATGCTACATGATTGACAGATCTATCTTGTTAACACTTATTAATTCTTGCCATAACGTATGATAATAATTTACACTTGGAAATGAAATTACTTGCAAAAAATTGTTGCCAAGTATGAGCATTATATCCTAAGCATAATACTGCATTTTCCTAGCCTTTATTTTAATGCGTTTTCATTTGCATTACAAAAATATTAAATCGTGAACTAAATAGCCGGTAGTTGTGCCAATTGAAAGTGTGCATGCAATCTGAATACTACTTTTTTGTAAAAATTTTGTGCATGGGGTAGTCTCCTGCTCAACCTTGGCCTTGCAACCTAAAGGACTTCTATAGTTCCTTTACTTCATTTTTTTCTTTCATTTAAAACCCTTCAATGGCTGTATTTTGTTTCTAAGGGTAGACATCACTTGATGGCCTCTACGTCCTATCATTCGCATTGCTTTTGGTAGTACTGTAAAGATTTAGGCCTCTAAGTGAGGCTATTTTTTTATGTAAAGTAACATATGGCCTTCCAAGAGCCAAGAAGCAGCTATCTTTGTTTCATATCTGGTCTGTTCTAACACATTAATCGAAAAAGATGGAACCATGAGTTGTCAAAACATGGATCTTCCAGACTTTCATTGCTGTCATTCATTTGTCAGGTTTTGCTGAATTCCGAGCTGTGTTTTGTAGTGGAATAGTTTTGTGGAGATCTTTGTATAATGGCAGGATCGTTCAGCGCAACACTCATTAATGTAAAAGACAGTCATCTTAGCGCGCAATGTAGCATGATATTTGGCATGTCTTACAGATTCCTCTGTAGGGCTGCCACCGGCAACCCTTGTGATAGTGGATGGCGAATACGTGAGTGATTTGTACGGCAACGCTAGCCGACCGGTCCAATTTTTCGGTGATGTTTCGAATAAGTCACACTTCAGTCTCTGGCTTGCCGAAACAGCACGGTGTCGAACTATGTTCTCACGCATCAATTCCCTTGCCTGGCACCGCAAATGCGGTCCCAAAGCCAAAATGGACTTTATGCGTCAGGTGCCCTGTACCACTGGAGATGTCTGCTCCGAGGAGGACGATCGCTCTCGTGTTCAACCCGAATCGCAATTCACCTTTACTGTCCAGGATCGTCGACAACCTCGGTAGGTCCTCGGTCAACTTCTCTGCTTCTCAGTCTGTATTCATCGAGAATATATTGTCGATAAGTTGGGGACTCTAAGTTCAGGTTCTACAGGTCACTTTGAAACTTCTCTGGCATGATAAAATTTTGTAAATGTTGATTTCGTATTTAGTAGAATCAGATCTGTCGTCACTCTTTTTCACAACTCTTTAATCCTTTCAATTTATCATTGTCCTATCTCTGGAACTTTCTCTTCATTGAAAGCTGGTCTTTAGGGTTTATCCTCCTTCAGTCCTATTCTGGTTAAGTAGGTGATTTAGTACCTTCCACCCTTTACTTTTAGAGCTATCAATGCTAAATTTTTTTCTTTGGAGCGCATTAAACTGCTAAATTCAGGTGCTTTGCTGTTCCCTTCCCCTCCCTTAATGCTTGCATTAGGTCTCCTTCTGTTTAACTGTGACAATCGTAGTACTTTCATTGTCAAAACTCAGGGTCAATCCGTTGGAGGAAGTAGTATGGTATGTTGATGTTCTCGTCTTATTCCTAGATGGAATGTGAAAAGTTCAGCCAAGTCAGGCTAGCTTATTTGTCCTTAGGAAGAAGTAAAAAGCAACCTTTCTGGAGTATCCAAGATGTTAGTGGACTCGATGGCATAAGGGAATGCCGCGGAGGCTGAAGAGGTTCATTCGAACCGTTTAGTAGAAGTCAACTCTTGAAGGCTTTTTAAACGGATGCGTCCGATTGTCCATTCAATGGCAAGAGCCTATGGAACATGCACCACTGAAAGAAAGTGGTACTATTTCTCACACCATGAAATATACTTGATTCTCTATTTTCAAATCTGAGACTGCAAGAATATGGTTTATGAAGCATAAAAGTACCTCACGTCATCTAATGGACCATCAATGAAATTGAATCCGGTACAACAGTGGCTTTTGACGTTAGAAGTCAAAAACGCAAATTTTCGTTATACAGCGTAGTTCTGTCTTAACAGGCTTCTATATAAGCGTGATTTAGACAAACTCAACTTCCTATTTAATCTCTTGTTGACATGACAAAGAGACGCCATTTCAAGGCATCGGTTGGTAATAGTTTATGCGTTTCGTCTGATATCTGCTGTGGAGATCCATCACCCACTCCAACTACCTTCGTAGCATATTTTTCGTGTCATGTTGACCAATTCAATGGAAGATTTGACGGCGATGGAAATGACAACAGTGCGTGCTTCTTAATAATGAGAGTGAAGATAGAAGCCGTTCTCTGAAGCAATTGCAACGTAATACGATGCTCCATTTTACGAGATTGGTGAAAGAAAATGTATTATCTACTTCCGGTAGAAGTTGGAAGATGCAGAAACCTGAGTGGTGCCTCAGCCATGAAGTAAAAGACGGAGGAATGTGTGGATCAAAGTTGCACCTTGATAGTTGATGTCTGGACTGCCAGTTTTTCCCCTTTCCACATCTTTATTTGGCCTCCACATCAAAATGCATGGCGGATGGATGTAGACCTAGCCTAATGGATATAAGTAGCAGTTTTACCTCTTCACCAAAATTGGTAGACACGATTACATGGATAATGAAGAATGTGTAATGGTGGCGTAATTTATTTTGACGGCAGAACATTGCATAATGACCTCCATTCAATACGGTTTTAACTGAGGGCTAAACCAATTGGTTTACATCTGCAGTACATGCGAGGCAGGGAGAGGACCAGTGAAGGCTAACTAATGAGATGATTCTATCCGCTTATCCATCGGTAACAGATAGCAGGCTTCACTTCCATGTTTGTCTTCGGGTCGACCAGGGACTTCTTTGATGGAGCTGTATTTGGACTGTGAGGTGACCCATCTGCTTTGTCGAGAGTAGTTTTACTTCCCCTTTTTTACTGTGCTTTAAGCAAAAATCATGTGGATTGTTTGTGTAATGGCATGGTGAATAGGTGAAATCATTCCAGCAGAAGGCGATTGATAAAAACTATAGCCACGACTCAAAATAAGCCATTATCAGTCAAAAGAGTCTGTGAACTATATCATCCGATCAATCCTATGCAAAATTTGTATTGCGCAAGGTAGCATAAATGAAAGCGGAAGGCCCACCTCCTGGCTCTGCTTGAATTGGAAACAAATTATGATGAATTTGGCGAAATTACGAAACCCTTAGTCTCTCGCCGTCGATGCACATAGACAATGTCATAGCCGCCAATATTGTGGGCCTTTGTGATGTTCTCACTCAGCTTGTGAACTTGATCACTGCACTGTCATTCCAAACGAACAAAGATAATAACTACATTTTGTGGGTGTTGTTGGGACGGATTTATTGCAAAGAAAAACTGCGGTGACATCTGTCTAATGGGCCTGCATGAGTAAAGAAGCAGTTTATGTTCATATTTTAGTCCCTTCATCAAAATGATGTCACACGGCGAAATCGGTTTAGCCTACTTGTTTTGAGGAACAGGCAGATTATCAATCAGCTACTACACCCGCAATCACTCTGAACGATCCTCCTCCTTCTGCATAACAGAATTTTTCAGTTTAAGTAACTGGATACAAACTCCCTGCCTTTCTGTCTCAAAGCTGCGGATATTTAATGCTTCATTTGGTGTAAACGAAGTAGCAAAATGAACAGTTCCACGAAAACCTTAAGAGTCTTGTCCAGCGTTTTAAAAGCCATTCAGGATGATATACGAGCGATAAACCAGGTCGCGGTACCTGCACATTGTAAAAACTCGCTCTTCAAAATATTTGTGAATAGATTTGTGACGAAAAGTGGGTCCTGTGTTTCAGTGTGCATGGAGCGAGCAGTGCGGCGCCCTCCCAGACCCAATTGTTCATTGGAGAGTTTTGTACAGGCGACGAGGTTGGAACTAAGTTACATCAAATAAGAATTCTCTCATCGTTCTTAGGAATGGAAAAAACTGAAAACTGACTTGAAATCGTCATAGTGATGAGCTGTTACATTGCATTAGTGGATGAGTAGGAATGGGTTGTGGGCACTCCGGCTAATTTCATCCTCTTTATTTTTCCAATTCCATCTTGTCCTGGACCTATTCTCACTGTCAGAGTATTACAATGAATTTGTTGGCAGGAAGTCTTGAAAACCAATTATTCAGTAGCCCCTGTTGTCAAACTTTTTACACATCTTTTCAGCTAGAGCAAAGGGTTTGTTTCATTGTGCGTGCCCGTGTCGTTTACGCTGAAGGTGTAAAACTGAGAGCGATATGGATGTCATAATTGAGTATCGAGGACAGCTAGCACGACTGAGTTAGAAGAGATTAAGGACGCTTTAGTGAGAATGTGGGAACGAGGCCTTCCCTATATTCAATCTTACTATTAAAACAAACTCCCCTTTGTCTTCTGGGATAAATGACCACAACTTTTCTTTTCTCTGTGCTTATCATCCATCCTTTGAATTCGGGATAATCCAGTCCCATTTTACTTCATCTCATCACTGTTGTATGAAGCTTCGCCATCTCTATCTCCCCTTCTTCTGTCCTCAAGGGATTCAGTGACCTAAATGTTCTGCTATCCAATTGCAGAAATCTTCAAAACTCCGTACTGGAGTTGATTCCTCCCCCCTATCCATTGAATATTCGGTTAAGAAAGACCTTAACAAGTGAAAAATATTCCTCATCAAACCGGGATCCGGATCACGACGTGGAGGTTCGCGGTGTCTCAAATATCCGCACTACCATTATTGACGAATTTTAATCTTTTCTATGTTCAAGATTCTGGTATCTTAGTTTGATTGCTTGCTACCGCAATCTGACTACCTGCGAGTGGGAGACTTCAGCTCTGCCTCGACCTGACATTGATCTCTCAAAGAGTGACTGTCATGATTCCTCGAGGCCCTGTGTACCGATGCGCATGCGCTACGACATCTGGATGGTGAATGGGGCACCACGTCTGCGTGACTACTACCGATTTGAACATCAGTTCTCCTTCGAGTACCATGATATCTTTGAGATCTATCTCATATTCGGCCTCCTCTACCTCTTCCTTGGTGTCATCCTACATGTGAGTTGATACTGCTGTCATCATCACCGTCACCACCACCATCATCATCGGTTCCCTCTAAAATTGTATCTATATATCACATGCTTAAGTTTCTGTGTTTTATCTAGTCTTGGTGATAAATTATGTGATGCGTACTTTATGCCACATTGCCTGACACCACGTGAAGTCAAAAACAGTTTAGCTATGGTAGTGGAACTCGTCTTCTAGGGGAGAGTTGTTTTTTTACAGCAGCAGTTGAGTAGTGCATAGGTTTGAGTCACGTGATAACGGCATCAATTCCTGCATGATCTCTTGGCAGCAAATATGGCAGGATTGTGTGATCCGTAGAATCATTGATTCGGAACGTTCACCTGCCCGCCTGTCACTCTAGTTAGGCAAGCAGACCGGTGATCTTTCTTACGTAGGCGAATGGAAAGATAGACTCCACTTGATTCTAAACCATATTCTTCAGTATCCTTACAATCAGTGAGGTCGAAGTCAGACGGTACAAAGCAGCTGGAACAGTTGTGATGTCATCTGCTCTTAACTTTTCCAACTCCTCGTAGTCCTTTCAAGCTAATTATAAATAATTCACTCGATTTTTACAATGCGCACTTGCACCGGCTTGTTTAAAATTGGAGCAGATAAGTTATTGTTTATGTTGTCAAAAGGTGTCGGTTTGTGGCAGTTCATCGCTTATCTATCTTGCACCCTGTACTATCACCGCCTTTTGTTTGGTTCAACTGATGGATAGATGTGAGCGTGTGGGGAGTGGCCGATACCGCTTCATCCATTTTTCACCCAATTTTACTTGTCGTCACACCTTGGCGCCGGGAATCAGGGCGACATGGTCAGTTAGGCAGTAAAATACACCTCTGAGCCGGAAAAGTTGAGAGCGAAGTCACGACGTTAACTGCGTGTTGTGGGGTTGAGTTCTCGCAGTCACAACTTTGCCCTGCTGGGCGGAGGAGATTTTGGAGGAATTTATTCCCTTAAAAATGCACAAACTTCTCTGTTTACTATGAAAGTCAGTGGTTTAAAAGCCGTTTTTTAATCATACCAACACAAGCGGCATTCCTGGTCCTCTCGAAGCCAGGATGGATTTGTCTTGGTTGTGTACACAAGCCTAACTGACGATGCTATGTTTAATTTGTCTCCAGGACGAAAAATGTTGCAAAATGTATCGTTTCACATGTTTTGGTCACCTTTTTGCACTTTGTTACACGAAAACGATATAGTCTTGGCCATCCTCGCCAACTCTCATACCTCAACTTAGGTGACGAAAAAGGAGGACTTGTTTTTACCTGGTACTGCTGTGAAAGTAATGTAATATGTGTGCGATTCTGAGCAAATCACACCGTCGAGCAAGTGTGACGCCTCAATGTTCTCACCTCAAGCCTACATGCGAACAATGGATGATATGCTAGATTTAAATGTGCTATTTTTTGCTGAACTACCATAATCTCTTCAATATAAAGTTTTTTTATAAAATCCTTCTTCAGCATAGGTGTAAAATTTCAGAAAATTTCTTTCCGTTGTTTTGCGCGTTGGGTTGGTAGAAGAGTGGGCAGACGCAGAATGATGTTGACGGGGTTGTGTGATTGCATAGTAGCAAAGAAGAGCAAAGACATGAGGTCTTCTTAAGCACTACTAGTGATAGTTTGAGGTGTGAAGCCTTTTGTTACGATATTTGAGGAAGGGTTTAACCTGACTTGGTCTCCAGCACTGTTTAAAAATGGTGAGAAACCTAGTCCAGGACGCAGTCGACATAACACATTTCACCAGCGCTCATTTGGTTCAGGGAAGGGGACAAATTCAATTTGGAATGCACCATCCTCTACTCGAAATGCTTCTAGCCATCTGGAAATGAGTGGGAGGTAAAGTGGTGCTCCTGTTATTCGGAGAGGTGTTGTACCCGTAATTTACGTCTACTTACTCCCTTTGATTCCATCAACAAATAATTCAACTGCTCTCAGCACGAGGGCTATATTCACAAAATTAAACAATAGTTGGTTGGTGGCTGAAAGTGCATGTATTAGGGACGTGTCTATTGTCTACTTGTCAGACAGGCTGAATGGACGATGCTGGGACTGTGACGTCCGTAACACTTGTCGCTAGTATGAGCGCTGCTAACGTGTGACGCGTATCTTCGTCTAGACCGCCTTCTGATTTGGACACAGTCACGTACGGCTCACCTTGTTCGCTTTAATGCGAAATGAGCGAAGGCCCTGGATGCCACATTCACTTCATCCGTGTATTTATGCAGTTATGATCTCTCCTTTAAATGCACATCCTACCAACGTCACATGCAAATGTGGGACTGCCACTGTTTTGCCCGTGAAAGTGTTTTGTTTAAGTTGATGTGAACCACCACCACTCCTGAAAGTGACACGGAAATTATGCTCATATAAGCAGATCGACGAACAGCAATGATAAATTACCGACTTTAGCCGACACTTATTTGGCCTTTAGATCAAGTACAAGGGGGAGTACGAGCCGTTGGCATGTCTCCTCTTCAAACACATCTGGTTGTCATTTGGAGCAGCGACACTAAGGGTTATCCACTTTGCAACCTTCTCATTTGATGGCGTTGGGGCGCCTGCTCTCCTATTCATCGGTGATGTGGTTGCTCTTGCCGCGGAGTCCCTCCTCATCATCCTCATCCTCACCACCGCCGAAGTTGGCTTTCCCATCCTCCCTGCTGAACTTTCCCACTTTGAGCAGAAGGTCTGTTGCCACTTTCATTGTTTCTTAAGTTTTTTTTATTCTGCTTTTACTTCTCCGTGTTTATTTAGATTTATGCATTTTTTTCCTTCCCCTTCTATTCGATTGACTAAATGGAATTTCCTGCATCTAAGTGCTTTATCTCGAGACTCTTGCTTTGACTAGCTTGACTTTTTTGTTCGTAAGTCACTCTTGTTCCTCTCCTTCCATCCCAATATCTTGACGTCTAAAGACAGCTCTTAATCTTCTATCTGGAGCATTGAGTTTAAGGTAACACTTGCTCAATTTTCGACGTCAAACTACTTGTCGAGTAATTGGTTTCTCATAAAGCTTCTACAGCAGCAAATTTTGAAGATATATAGGGACTGTAGCTAATTCATGGGTCATTGTTTGCTAGTTGTGGCTGCTTACCTTGCAATCATTTTTGAAATGGTCACCTCAATTGGTGTATGAATAGGTAGAACTGTTTCACTTTCTACCTTTTGTTCCATCTAAGCAATGCTGTGTAGGCGATGAAAATTCAAGAAAAGGGAATTTTAGTACCAATCTTTAATGAAAACGATGCATTTACAGTCCTGTCATCTTGAGGGAGTGAGTTTTTATGCAGTCCTCGAAATGCAGCCCTTATCACTCATCCATAGTCCAACTGAAACGAATTGTAGCCAATAGTGCTTCCCTACTGCTCTGCAGTTTATGTGCTTCAATCACAATATCGCAGGCGTTATTTTCCAGAAAAGTTTTGTCTTTTTTCATTTCCAGATGAGCGAATTTCGCCTAACAAAGTTAAAGAATACAAAACAGCCAATGGCTGTTGGATGCTCCCGACATTATCAATAGTTTTATACGCCTCTTGACTCGGTATAGTGGGTTGGCAGTCTGTGTTGATGTCACTAGAGCACTTTGATGCGATCTTCTTTCATGAGATTACATCATGAGGGTTTCTACAGTCTCAAGATAATGATATGGAAGAACCGAAACTTCTCTCTTTTAATTAAGCATTTCATACCAGTAGAAGCACTGGAGGCATTTGGAGGTGAGAAGGGGCGTTGACAGCGATCTAAATTAACCATTTTTGCGCCTCTCTGACCTCAGGTTCGTCAATACCAGAAACGTCAGTATCGCCGAGTCCATAGTGCTGCTATAGTTCCCTCCTCTGCAGTCAGTTTCCGCGACAACGAATCCACCACGCAAAACGGTGGGGGACGCTCCCGCTTTAAGGATATTGTTCTGCCTCCCACCGCAGCTACGTGGTCAGTGGCACTGTGTCGCTCTGAGACGGCAGCAGCAGCAGCGGAAATGGCGAACATGGTAGCCACTCCTTCGGTGGTCTCTCTCACCTACACCACTCTCGGCGAGGAGACAGAGGAGACCTCTCGTCTCTTGCCCGTGTGCGGTGGCCTCTGCAAATGCACCCAACGGCGTCTGCGCACTTGCCTTTATCTCGGCTCAATGGTTACCCTTATCATCTCTATCGAAGTGGCGCTCTATGTTTGGGCTCGGGTGCGTCTTCATTTAGACCCTTATTTCTTTCCTAACGTTTCGAAGCCAAATGAATTAATAAGGCACTTTCTCGCTGCCGATCCTAGTGATCCGTTTTGCCAATTTCTGCCATATTTATCGCTACATTTCCTTATTCTAGTCATAGATTTGGTAAGTGAGGCACTTCATACAGTTCATTTATTGACATTTTGTTCCTTAGCATTGCAGCATTCAATGTTTATCCTACCCCACATGTATTTCTAGATTTGATAATTATCTGAGACATTGCATTGAGCCTTTTACTTTAAATACACTTGGGGACTCCTTACAAAACCCAATTCCTCACTGTCTTTCCAACGCCGGAGGAATCAATTATCACGGCTGCAAAATAACGAAATAGCAGGATGTAATGATAGTAACTAGTTGTACATTTTGAAGATAAACCATGTCCTACAATATAGTTGCGTTTTAAGGTACTCATTTTTTTGCAACTTAAAGGAGTTTTTAAATCGTCATCTCACCATTTTCTACGGCCTTCTCTGCTTCAGTTAATGTGCGATGTCTTTAAGTAGATTTGCGTCATCATCTTAAGCTACTAAGAGAGATATGCTATGGCATATAATTTTGCGCATTCAAGTATTTCTTGTTTTCCTGGGGATTTTATGTGGAGTCCTTAGGCTTCCAATTGCACGCTTTTGTAGTTAGTGCATTCGTCCGTACTGCCTTGGAATCCACTTAATCCGAATGAACATGGGCCTTGATTACGCTTGTTTTTCTCCACAATTTCTACCCACTCCTGCTCATTAAAGTAATCGAGGTGGTCACCAAGGCTCTCTGTATATGCCGTGTTTGTCAGGCTCCCAACTGATGTTTTCAATGGATGAGACCTTCATGCACCCGCTTTTATTTGTCGCCAATGGCGGGTAAACAAGTGGGGCAAGTGATCTTTTGGTTGATAAAGACTATCCAGACCACGGGATGGTTTAAATCTCACCAATTGTCAAATATTGAGCAGCAATTTGTGCAAAGCATATCCAGACATACATTCGGAAATAAGACATGGACATGAGGAACCGTAAACGATTTATGCAGATGCAAACATTTGTATCTATGCCGTCACCTTTTCATTTCACTCCTGGGTCTCTCTATTTGGCACTTGGTAAAAGGGGTTGTCAATTAAGGTCGGAATTGAGTGGTTTGATTCCACGCTCACTACTCACAGCGGGCAACATGGAAATTCAGCGATTCAAGTCCTCATGATCGCAAATAATGCGCGAATACTACAGTCTCCGTTCAATTAGTAGCGATATCTTGATCCTAATTCGATGGGACGAAAGTAATCGCATTAGGTTTATGCCGGAACAAACTATGAGAACAAAACCAAATCATCGAGGGTTGAAAATGCTACTAACATTATTAAAGTAAAGGTAACGTTCTGGTTTTGGCGTCGACTTTGTCCTGAGCTGGTAATTTGCCTAGGATTGCTGTACCCCCACAGAACGATATTGCTGTTTTTTCTAGAAGTTTCCGCCTTCATGATCCATTTTCGAACATTCTAGATGGGTGCGCGGTCACCGTCCCCTTTTGGTTGGCTGGTAGCACAGGCGAAGTGCGCTAGTTGCCACTTCGAGGCCAAGGTCAATCACACGCTGAAGGATGTTTTTCAACAGTTATGTATATGGTAGTGAGTTGGATAAATGACTTTCACGACCCATGGAAGCACAGTCGTTGAAATTTCCCTCGATCATTTCAAATAAATGTGGATGCCTTGTGGTGGCACGGGACTTATTTTCATCCCTAAAGGCGTAATTAGTCTTGACGTCGTGGCATAATCCTCAGACTTCAAAAGACACTATGAAACTATCTAAATGTGTCAAAGCGAATGGCGAGGACAGTCAATTCTCATCGCCGAAGAAGGAAAGTAAGCAGCCAGGAAAAGTCATGCTCGGAAAAGAAATGAAGTACCGTTTTCTAGTGGCAGATATGATCGCCTGTTAGCACATGACCAGTGCCATTTTGGACAAAGAATGGCTCGGCAATGTTATCTTCAGCACAAAATACCAGTAGAACTGCATGAATGCATTTGCTTCTCAACTATCACTAGTGGATTTTGCGAACCCCAACTGCGATGATTTTGCCAAACAAGCTAGACGTCAATGCGAAAATGAGTGACCTTACAACTGGGGATGATTCAGCGGATCGCATTTTCTGTCCAATGCCAGTAAACTTAGGTTCTTGAATGTCTTGAACTTTGTAAGCATAAAAATAAAAGTATTTTTTTGGGGAAGATTAGGTGACAGGGAGGTTGTCAAAATACCCACTTCTTGATTATGATCCCGATTTAGTGTTTCTGAAGTTTAAACAGCGTTGAACGGTTTTGTTAAAGGAAGGCTAGAGGGTTTTCACTTGCTGCTCGATCCAATCCTTTAACACTTCTCAAGTAATCCGTTAACAACGGATGAAGTTCAATCACCATTCCAACCATATGCTATGCGAAATTGGAAAACATAGCTGTCGAACCTTCATTTCTGTTAAATTATCGCTTGACAATGAAAAAGCACTGTCATTCAGTATGAAAACATCGAGTGCCAACAATTTTGAAGGCCTGCTCATGCTCCCACGCCTACTTCTTGGACTCTGAATTTGAGAAGTAGAGCAGTGGGATTTGCTAAAAATGACAATACTTGTTTGTGGCATTGGCCACAATTCTTCCCCTGGACATTCTAATGCTTTGACAGTCGTGAACGCCTTTGGGAAGTCCGAGCACAGTTAATCAGAGACAGGAATTTATTGATGTATTTGTCTCACTGCAAGAATGTATTTTTCTTCAGCCTTTGGTGGCTACTCTTTTAACTGTGGGAGCTATTTAGTCATAGTTTTTTTTTTATTTTTTTCGTATTACATACAATGGCAGCCAGATTGACTGTATCAGAAGGCATTCATTTGTTACATTACTAAAGGCTGCCGGAGCTTCAGCGATAAGCGTGTTTCGCCTGATGGCCACCTTTGGTAGGAACATCAACGTGGGAGCTACATGCGCAACAGTCTTTCCCAATCTTCTAGTTCTTAATGGAGAGTTGTGAATCGTTCAAACTGAGTCAAAAACTGATCTCAGGAGATTTCCTTCTTCTATGCATCTTCGCAGATATTAGCCATCATGACAGACACCTTATTTCTAAGATGTTCTACCTTTTGTTATCTTCAATTTTATCGGCTCTGGAGGATCCATGTGCCATTTGCAAAATGAAAGGATCTATCTAATGAAATTCTTGAACAAACCCTACTTTATTCTTCCATGTGAACTGAATTTATTTTAAGGTGGTAAATAAGTGGGGAAGTGGGGTGCTAAGGCCCATTTTTAGTCTTTTAAATTAGGACTCATGTTTCTAATAGACCTGTCAAATATAATCCAGATACTTTATACAATGGTATATTCCCTACCGTCATTCTCCCCTTGGTTACAGTTTGATCAGGACCCTGTTCTGGACATTTCGGTATGGAACACGACTCCGGGTCGTCTGTTGGTGGCCGTACGTCTTGTAGTAGTATTTTGGTTCCTCGCCATCCTTCGGCGTCGACGCACCTCTTCCAACGTATCAGAGGTGATCGAACCGTTGCACTTTGCGGTGGCCTACCTCCTTTGGCTTCTCGCCCTCCCCATCGCCATCTTTGTTGCACACACCAGCGTTTCGCCTCTCTGGCGTCACAAAACTATCATAGGTATGGTTATTCTTACTCATCTTTCTCCTCTTCTCCATGTAGGCGGTTCCTGAGCTACCTCTCACTTCACGCCTTCTGACGCCTTTTGCTGTTTCTAAGCAGCTGTGATCTTGGAAACCTGGAAATTTTGGCCCGCTTTGGCGGCTGATTTCAAATTAATCAACTAGAATTTTGGTAAACTTAACTGTAGCCGTTAAATTTCTCTTCTCATAATTGCGTTGCAATATCTTGGCACACATAATTGATAATACCCATTATGTGTTAGATACACCCTCGTCCCCTTCCAGTCCTGGGTGACTTAAGTCAATGAAGTTTCCTCCCACCTAGTTTCCTATTACCTTGGTGATTACACCACACTTCGTTTGACAGGCATATTGTCGGCGTTATCTCTAATGCAAAGGGAAATGGGGATGATATTGGGTCGTAAAATAGGGATACTCGAAAGACCAGGATTTTGTTACGCTGATCGTCATCACTAACCGTTGTGAGGGAATTTATGGAGCGCATAAAAGCAGGCGTAGGTTGACCGCCAGAGGCACAGTGCGGTACTATTCCCGCTATCAGCCGATCGGGGCAGTCGATAAGGACAGAGATGAGTAGACCTGCCCTCCCAGCTTCTAAATAGGTTAAAATTTGTCCCTTTACGCATGTCAAAAGTTACCTCTAGACTTGCACACCTCAAAAATTGGTTTAACCTCTCGGCTACTGAAGTGACTACTTACTGGTCTTTAAACTACTTCAACGAAATTTTATTTGATATGTAATTGAATTGGCGACCAAAAAAAAATGACAGAAGTTAGCTGATACAATGTAGAATTCTGTAACCACGTGAGCACCTAAACTTGTGCATCCTCCCTTTTAGGAGTGATGCTCCTTTCCGACTTCCTTGCTTCCATTCTCTACGCCCAATTAATCAATCGAGCCAAGTAAGCGACTTTCTGAGGCGATTGTTGAAAGGGCATAAATTGGTTTTAAGTGGTAATCTTGTCTTCAAAGGAAATCTTAGATTAAATGCCATCCGACCTTGGTGTATGAGTCGTACTGTTTAGTCGCAGATGTAATTAAATGACAAAAGCGATTCCGTAGAGGCGTTACCTCCCTCTAAATACCAACATATCTAGAGACTTGTGGCCTAAAAAGAGTCCCCCATTGCTGTGGATAAACGGCTTTCTGATCAATTAATTATCGTAGTTATAATCAGGATCTCAAAAAGGAATCAGTCCCCACAGTACAATTACTTTTCATTATTTTGAATTCAAACTTTACGAATGGTACCTCATGAATTTTTTACGGTAATTGTAAACGAAACTCACAGTCGGCTGCCATGACCTTATGAGAAACACGTCATGCCCACGACTTGCGAGCCCAGATGGGTATCGATGCCAGCGACACACTCTTGGAAACGCGGACACTGAAGTACCCACAATGAATAGCAATAATGAAGGGTAGCATTTCGTGGCCAGTCCCCCATTCCCAATGATATCTAGCTTATCTTGTAATATGATCTCGAAATCTGTTTGAAAGCTAACCCATCACCCTTTAAACGCTTCCTTTTCAGTGCCTACGCCTCCCACTAGATGAGCTTCACGACTGTTACTCCCGCCAATAAACTTGAAATTGTTCGAACATCCCCTGCAATTATCAAAACTTTGACAACCCTCTCAAATGAACAACTGTTTCCCCTTGTCCCCAGTCTATTGCGCCTGTATATTTTTATACACCTTCAGGGTCAACTTTTACGTGATTATGCACCTCTGATTAAGGTACTTGTCTCTTTCCTCCTTATTCACACATAAAGAAAATGAAGGCAAACATGTGCTTACACAACTACTACGCCTCAGAGACACAAGTTCCGACCCACGTGACCAACCGTAATAGAGGGACGCACTCATTACAGCTGACCCGAAATCGTGATAACCAATCTAGAGCATATTGGAATCTTAATAACTACCAGTCAGGATCGCACACTATGCCGATAAATTGTGTTGAAATCCTGAGGCTCCATCAAGGCGCGACAAGAAAAGTGGGTCGAATGATGCTAATCGTTAGAAATGCACATTGCTAGGGAACCAATAAACTGCAAACTCAGTTTCCAGATGGAAACAGTAAGGTGAAATCAAACAATAGGTTCATTGCTGCGCAGCCTATCGAAAAATGCACAAGAGGGAGAAGAATAGCTAGTTAAAGCAAATAAAAGGGAGTACGCAACACAACGGCTAACGAGCATCGGACAGAAGAAGCTAAGCCGCCACGAATGAGCGATACCGGTGACATCAACATAGAATACGAATCACATAAACGCAACCCAATTTAATTCCAATAACGTAAGTATGACAATAAATTATCTAGATACAGGTACCAACAGCAAGCAAGAGCACATTAAAATCCATGAACTTTGATTTGATCTGCCTTTACAAGGCCGTACTTTTTGAGAAAATCAGCGATATTATCACGCTGGTCACCTTGAAGTTGGAGAACTTCACCATACTGTTCATGCTGAACAACATTCCCATTGCAGGCGAAGTCTTTCTTGCATACTTTAAGAATCCGTTTTTTATCAAACTTATCCGGGATGCCCTGAACAGTGGTAAGGGTTTTACGTCCATTTCGTTGTTGAATACGAATGTGGACGGCAGTGTCCCCCTTGTTTGACTCACCGTCATCCGCGAAGGGATCTGAGAAAAAAATATAATAAATGACTACACACCATGAGTCTGAAGATTCTGCAAGGACATAGGCGAAACCGAATAATGCGAAGCTCAACGACGAAAACACTTAAACAAATGCAACCGGATTAAAAAATCAACCTTACCAAAATAAGATTCCATTAACGTTTGTCTTTTTGGTGGTTATGAATAAGTCTGATAAAAAATAACATTTCAAGCTGAATTTTTTTGAAAATTAATTTACACTCTTACTCACGTTTAGTAGCCCGTCACTTTTAGTATGCACCACGCAATAGTTATTTCCTTAATACAAAAGTTGATCATTTTTGTGTTCAAAGGAAATCATCAACGAAGCAAAACATATTATCGCGTTTTGCTTGTACCAATCATTTGTTGCAGTTTATAGCGTAACTTCGAAATGGTATGAGTTACGACAGTTGCTGTCCTCACACTTTTATGCATATGTCTGTTGTGATTTTATTTGAAACAAGTTTGCTTGGTCTATTTAATAACAGGTCTCGTCAGTGAGTGCTGATGAATGCCGGCTGGAGGAATCAGTTTATGGGCGGGTCGTTTACTGCAGTGATGGGTGCTATAATGAAAACGTCGACCGCTCAGCTTCTACTGTGGACAGAAACGAAAAAGTAGTGAAGTTGGTAAGCTTTTACAATTGGTTTTGAATAAGCTCGATTTATTTGCCTGTGGTCTTCATACTTTTATTGTTTTATCGAATTTCTCTGTGGCAACTTGAATATGCTGTGCTTTTATTTGGAAACGATTCGTGGTTTGTGTAATATTCAGACCATTTTGACTGACTTTTTGAATTGGGTCTTACATCTAATTAATTCAGCATAATTGATAGCGATTTCTGTAATCATGGTTTCTATTATTCACAGAGCTTAGTGCTCTTTAATATTACGATTGCATCTACACAAACACTGCGAACTTTTCAAAAGTATTGTATGCTAAATCGTGTTCTCACTTTTAGCCCCAGTTGCTGAAGGTGTGTTTCACCCCTGATCATCACCATTTGCAAAAGCTTGTGATGACAGTGATGTGACTTTAGGCCACCACTTTGTTTTATTACGCTTTTCCTTTTTTAGAAATTAAATCTTACTTTTATTTAAATGTCGATGTACAGTTCCAGGTGAAGTGGGCATGTTAGGAGGCTATGATGTACGATACGTCTAACCATCGGATTTGCCCATTGTCATCCAACTTCCAATGTAGCTTGTAGGTGAATTGTGTATTTACGTTTTATGTGAACTACCTCTCATTTTCAAACTATCATGGAGTCATTGAGATTGCTTTCACTGAACTCGAGTGCATCTGTTTCCATCTTATCCTGATGCTGTCATGGCCTATTTTCGGTCTGCTCTGAAACAACCAGCCTCTATTGTATGAAATGTTTGGGACATTATTTGATTCAACAGGATGTGCCAGACGTCACTTGGTCCTCGCGCCTGCTGCAGGAGGTTCGCTCCCTGCCGCGAAAGGCTCTCCGAGTTGCTGACTGGGCGGGTGAGCGCCTCGCGGGTATGGTGGGCATCACTGATTCCAAATTCGACGTTCACCTTTGGCAACGTGAGTACGAGACGCAGAAACAAGATGAGGAGGAAGTCAACATTTTTATAATTGATCCCAGCCCTCCTAAGAGCAACGTACTCTTCCCACTGGAAGTCAGAAAGAGTGCTGCTAATAGTCAAGGTGGGAACTAGGTCTTATTCATTCTCTGTGACTTAAGTTTTTTGCTATTTCGAGCTCACCCAACCTCTCACTGATGCTCTGATGCAATGAGATCACTTTGTGTATCCAATCGTGTTATTTTCTTCGCTGATGACCTGAACGGATTGTCTTGAATCGATGACTTTTGCCTCCGTTTGGGAATGTTATTGACTAAAAATGTGTGGCATGTTCTTATCTGGTCAAGAGCTGCAAGCATATGATGCATACACTTCACTAGTTTACGCTGACGGTAATAATGATTGCAGGGAGATCTTATGTTGTGATGGTCGGCGCAGGTGTACGAAAGGAGAGCGCTGAGGACGCCGCTCAAAAGAAGAGAGGGGCAGTGTAATGCTTTGGTTATGTGACTACCTGGCGTTTGGCGGTTACTTTGGGATTTGTCTGGCCCTTGTACTCGTGGGCTGACCTTCGGGCCATGCCCAGGTCCATTTGTCCTGTCGTCTTCGGAATACATGTATCCGGCTGCACTTACTGACTTCTTATACGGAATAGGAAGTCTCGGGCCGCTACACACCTCACTAACTCTCCTGGTTTTTGGAAAACCGAATGGATCGGTTTGGTGATGTGAGATTGAATTCATCACGAGAGTGAAGAATCCAACTCACGGATTTGCGACTTGCAAACCTCAGATGTATGACGTTTTATGTACATTACAGGCAAACGGTAACGGTAAAACGTGCCATGATGTCCTCGAGTCGTACCCAATACCCCCTTAATTGAAATAGAGAAGCAGATAATAAGGTCCCGGTTTTTGCTGCAATTGGGTGCTTAGCGGCACATGGGTTGTATGCTGTTTACCGACTCAACCCGGGTTGTTCGCCAGGGCATAGTTGAGCCTATGTTCATATCTTCGGAATTATGTGACGAACCTGGATAGGGAATCTGTTTCGTGACGTCATGTTGCCTTGCATGAGGTACAGATTAGGTTTAATTCCTTCAGTTCCTGGCACATTTGTCATAAGTTTTGGAGCCGTGGGTGCTGTTTTCGCTCAAGAGTTACCTCGGACCTCCGCACGTCAGTAGTACAGGTTTTGCGAAGAGTAGATTTGGTACTACAGCTAGAGACGTAAATCCGCTGTAGAAGGGAGGGAGGCTCTCCACGACCATAATTTTGGCCACTCAGGCGACATGTCCCATTTCATTTCATTTATGCAAAACGAATCACTCCTTAAAGAGGTCATAAAACTAAGTCGAAAAATCAAGAATCCACTGCGGTGATGATAGTGCCTCGAGACTTCCCACTAATTTGAGCTGAATGCATATTGTAATGCTTTGTTTATGTGACTACCTGACTTTAGGCGCTTACTTTAAGAATTGTCTGGTCCCTGTACACGTGGGCTGGCCTGCCGTCTTCGGAATACATGTATCCAGCTGCACTTACTGACTTTTTATACTGGCTAGGACGTCTTGGGACGCTACACATATATTCCAGGAGAAGAACGGCAAGAAAATAGCAAAAGTGACCGCCAGATTTTAGGCGATCACACAAACTAAGCATTGCAGCGGTTAACAAAAGACAGGCGAAAACATGACGGAAATGTACGACATGGATATGGTTAGTATAATTTGTTTAATGGAACGACTCGTAGCGCTCCGGGACTTCCCTTAGGGTGGAAGAAGGAAGTAAATGAGGCTGGACTCATGTATTTCGAAAAAAAAAGAACAAATGGGCCTGGGTATGGTCCGAAGACCAGCCCACTAGTACAATGGCCAGACAAATCCTCAAGTGACCGAGCGTCAGGTAGTCAAATAAACAAAGCATTACACGTCTGATGTCTGGAGTTTACTTGGAGACTCCTTTCGTGTTTGTGCGCATGGGCTGACCGTCGGGCTAGGCTCAAGCTTAACTCCTTTATTCATCATAAAATACATGTATTCAACTCCACTCTATGCTGCTTCTACTTGGTGGGAACTCTCGGGTCACCACAGCAGGTAAACACCCGCTTGACCTTTGCAGTTTCGCTACTTTTAGCAATCTTGGGCATGCATATAATTTAGTCCTATCACCCAGGTTGGGTACTTCTGCAGCTGTACAAAGCAATTCATCTAGATACAGGGCTTATTACCCCACCATTATACCTTTTTATTCGACCGCCTGCATGGCTGCATGAGCTGACTTTTGGTCCGGGACAAATATCACTCCCCCACCTCCTCCTCAAAACACCTTTAAGCCTAATTAACACCTTTTCCTGCCAAATTACAAGTCTTGGGTTGTAAGTTTATGAGGGAAGGCAAAACTGAGAAAAGCTTCACCTCAGTAAATTTAAAAGGGACTTAAAGTTTACAAAAATGGACTTGAAATTCCTGCGTCGAAGATTTAACCTAGTATTGCCTTTATCTAATTTAATTTTACTTTTTCTCAGCAATTCTTAAATTACAGCGATTTGACGATATGAGTCGTTTTAACAAGCCTTTGAGCGCTAGATTTGTGTGCAGTTGCGGATGAGTTGTGTTGGCTATCATGCGTGTCGATAAAGGTGCTTTAAAGAGCTGGCTAAGAACCAAAATTGAAGCACTGTATGTTATATTATATTTTTAAAGCATTTTTGTCTGTTTTGGCCGTGTTGTTTATGCATAACCAAAGGGTGTCAGCCTTTTATGTGAGAGGTACAGATGCCCTAACAACGAGCCATCTGAGGTGTTTGATTAATCAGAATTAATTCGCTTCTCACGATGTTCAAATAGGGAATCTTAACTTGTGACCCATTTTTCCGCACCTTGACCAGTTTCATTCCGTCCTTTGGCTACGTCGTAAATGTCATAGATAATGCTATCCAACATGTTCATCTTCCTTCTTTTTCTGGACACGTAATCTATTATATTTATGTGTGCTTGGTCTAGCATCGTTTGTGAGAATCAACATCCTACATGTTGGTGATGATTGTGCTGCAAGCTTGTCTATTCCAAGTTGCAAAGCAGCACCTCTTCCTTGCTTTTCTTCTCGTTTAGATCAATAACAGACCTAACTCCTTTGTATAAGTACATTGTTGTCCTGGTCACAAAGGACAAACCTGAGAGCGACCTTAAGGCCTTCTGTATAGAGCAATTGGAGGAGCTTCTGGGTGATAAGACCGCCGATTTCGTCGAAGAGATGTTTTCAGTCGCTCTAACTTCCTCTAGTGCTGGCGACCAGATCTCGTCCGAAAAGTCGCATGATGATCGCTCTCACCGTAGGACACAGGGTCGGTACAGTCCTCGTCTGAGATCACCCCACTCAAGTTCTCCTGAGATTCCCCCGAAGTATCATAGGTCCCATTCACCCGCAGATAGTCCCTTTGATTCAAATAATCTACGCGCCGGCAGTATTAACAATAACAGCAGTAATAGACGTCTCCACAATCAAAATCTCTCAGACTCTCGGAGACATCATCATGAAGCCCACGAATATGATCCCGAGGATTTCAACGATCGGAACACTTCCCATCATCGTTCCAGATCTGATCATTCAGATCAGGATGACTCGGATGCACATCGAACTCGTTCCCAGCGTCCTGAGCGTTCTCGTGAGCGGAATGTTCGAACGGAGAGGCCTCGTGGTGGAAAACCGGAAGACTCTGAGGTAAATCGGCCTCAGCGCCGTCGTTGTCGCAACTTTGATGAGCGAGGTTTTTGCATCTATGGTGATCGGTGCAAGTATGAGCATGGGAGTGATGCTCTTGTGATCCCTGGCACTACGGCGGCGGCATGGACTGCCGCTAATTTGTTTGACACCGCGTTAGCTGCGACTGGAACGTGTCTTCTTCCTGCAGCTCCGTCGAATGGTCCAAGTGGCCTGCTGGATGGTGGTAGTGATCCCTTGCCAACGTCGTCTGTTGATCAGGATGAAGATGAAACAAGTGGATTACCCATTTACAACCCCACTCCGAGTAAGTTCACTTGAGGTTCACTACTTAATTTTCTCTTGAGTCACCGGGCACAGTAATTTGCCTCCCCATTTTCTACTTTGTGGAGTACTAATCGTGTCCATGCCTTGCCTACCATGTTGAGAGCTTAAATTGGCTAGTTCCAAGTATACATTAATGGTTTACTCTATCACAAGTTGCAGTAGCTGGATTGCATCGTCCTTATCGCACCTTTTATTCAGTTTTACAAGTCTGTAATTGCGACATTGACTCATGAGTGTCGTTTCAGCACGTACTGCCTTGTCGATGGTATCGCTTGGTTCATTCACCCATTTTATGCAATTTAAAGTAATGCCATTTGACCAGTATTTTTGTAAACACTGGTAGGCCAATTAAGAGATCTCACTCGCGGTTAAAGTTATCCGGATTTGTTTAAAACGGGTTGCTATCTTAACTGAGATTAACTCATTGTGCAGTTCATCTCGCGTTCCCGTTTGCAACCTGAAAACCAGTGTAAAATAAACATTAAGGAGTGATACCAACCCTTAAGTTTCTTATTTGTTTGTTTTTTGCTTAAAAAGCTAGTGTAACGCAAAAGCCAAAGCAGCATGATATTTGTCTGATTCACAATAGTTGGTGCTTCTAAATTTGTAGTGTGTATATTACTAATGCTGGACATCAAACATTTCGTGGATTCTTATTGGGTGCAAACAGCTCAACTCCACCACATTGTTAGTTGTAGAGGCTCTCACTCGTAAGCCGACTCATTCATTCCGATCCCGTTCGGGTGCAGTAAACAAAAATATTATTTCCATCCCAACGGACAATAATGCCTATGAGCCTAGTTCCTCCACTCCGCTCGCCTACGAGCCTGCACGCCCTGAAATCGCTGACGATGAGGCTTCCGGACTGACGCATAGGCGACCCATCGATGAGAGTGCGGATCCGGCAAATTCAGCGCCCTCTGTTAACATTGCTTCTACTGTAGTCAGCACCGCTGACTACACACCCAGTCCAATTAGCCGGCAGCAGCAGTGCTCTCTCCTTGTCACCAAGCTGCCCTGGCGCCTCAACGAGACCCATAGGCTCCGCGAGCATTTTGCCCGCTTTGGAAACATCGTAAACATACAGACGCATTTTGGAGGGCAGAACTCCCAGGCTTTGGTTACCTACGCTTCCGTTGCTGAGGCCGAAGCTGCGTATCGTAGTCCTGAACCGATCCTTTCGAATCGCTTCATCCGTTTGTCTCTTTGGCCTCCCACCAACGGCTCAATGAATGCTGCTGCTAATGGCGGTGGTGGCGTTAGTCGAATGGTGGGTGGCGGTGGCCGTTTCAGAGGTGCGCCCTACAAGCGCCATATTGACGCTCTGGGATTCAGCCAATTTGGACATGTGAGCTTTTGCGTAGTTTGAACGGTTTGGAAGTCCTCAGATGAGTTTTTAGCAAAAGATTGTGGATTAGAAGCGCTGCCAAAGTTATCGCTGGTATGAGTGGGGCATTATAACACAAGGACAGAGAATAGTAACGAGTGTCCATTGGTTTCGTTGGCGAAATTAGACCCCTATTGCCTGTGAAGATTTGGAACAGCGGTAAATCACAGATATTCATTGGGGGGTAAATTAAATAGATCTAATTTTGCGTTACAATACTTGCTCATTTGTCTGAGATGTTATTAATCCAACTTATTCCTTTTCTGCACCTCATTATTTATGGTTTATTTTTATTTACTTTGACTCAAGTTTTGCTCACTATGTATCTAAATCAACTTTCTGATCGCCTTGTTTGATTGGTTTACTTTTGCATTTGCAACATTGAAAATTTTTCAATGTGTATTTCTAAATGCCACAGATTAAACATTTATTGTTAATGATTGGTTGTTGTGTGTTTCAGTCGCTTCTGGGTGATGCTCAGCCAATGTCCCAACGTTTGCCTGCTAAATTCCGCTTGGGTCAGATTGGGGATTCTCTAAATTTCCTCAAACGTAGTCATCTCAGCTGTAGCAACAGCGCCGCTGTCCCTGCGTCTAAATCTACCCCAAACAACCGCTCCCGTTGGCGGCTCGAACGGGATGAAAACGGCAATCCAGTAAGCGGGGACGAAGACGACGATGATGATGACGAAGAGGAGGTAGTGGACGTAGAGGCCGTGGGAAATGATGACGAAGCCAACCCTCACGAAGACGCAGACGACGAACTCTCAAAGAAACGATTTCGTGCCCCCGATTTTGACGATATAGACGATCCATATATACGTAATGTGAGCTTTATTTCCTATCTCCTTCTCGAGTAACTCCCATCCTGCTTTTCTTTTTACTCGTTGGTTTTATTCTTTTCATACCAGCGGAACTCCCGCAACTCCAATAGCATTGTCGACGAAGAGACGTCAGACTTGGTTGTGGCAGCGCTTCAACGCAAAAAGGCTCTCTGGGAGCGTCAGAAGTCGACTGCGCTTAAAGAGCACCAGGCGAAGCTGGCGCAGTTCGAAAAACAGCGGGCAGCCCGTCAGCAACTCGAGGCAGAGAAGCGAGCGTTGATTGTTCAGTTGAGTGCTGAATTGAGGGAAACCGTGACTGCTCTGGAGACCGTTTCGAACTCTGAGACGAAGCGAACTCTCGTAGCAAAGGCGAAGGGTCTTTGCAAGCGCTTGGAAGAGCTCAGGAAGTCCGTACAGTATTCAGCAAAACGCGGGGACGAGGCGAAGCAGCAGAACGCTGTTCAACAGCTTCTGCCTGATTCAGTGGCTGCTGAACGTCTTGAAAAGATAGCAGAAGTGAGGCAGCAGCTGACTGAACTGGAAAGCCGCCTTCAGATCGAGGGGTCTGTTGAATCTCAGACTGAAATCCGTCGAAAAATTGCAGATCTCAAAAGGAAGGTAAGGGTCTGCATCCCTGCATGATAAACTATCATTGTAAATGTGTTCTCTCTCCTAACTATTGTTTCTCCTCAAGCTGGTGGATTTGGAGACAATTCGTCCAAGCGATCTGGCCGCTCTCAACGCCGCAACCAGTCTCTCCATTCGAGGCCATACAAAACTGGACAAACGACCTCGAGTACTCTATGTCACTGGTCACAGTGCTTACGACGTTGAGGACTTTCGACATGCCCTCGCTGTAAGTATCTTTCCTCTTCTACCCTTAGTTGTGGAGTGACTTACCTAGTCATCCATGTTGCTTGCAGGTGAGCTATCTCTACACGGAGTCCTTTCGACCTTTCGTCTGCGGTAACGACAAGCAGCCCGTGATTGAGATTACCTTTTGCACGCGTGATTTTGCAGAGGCTGCAGTGCGTATGTTTCCCCAGTTTCATGGGCGTCAGCTAGTCATGTCTTTCGCTCCACCTCCCTCCATGGCGCAAGAGCAGCAGCGACAACAGCATGAGGAAATTGAGATGAAAGCAGAGGGTACAAAGGTTGGCGGAGCGTGTGGTGGCTCTAAAATGATCCGCAGTGTCCCATCTTGCGCGGTGGATGAGGAGGTAAGGATGTTGTATTTTGTGTAGGCGTCGCCATTGTTAGTGCAAGTGCGAAATCGTTAAGTGGGGTTTTGTAGCCCGCAATCTACTAATCAATGTCCAGCTCGCAAGTTGATTTTTTTGAGGAGTGGGAACCCTTTATAGGAGATATTGTTATTATTATTATCATTATTATTAGAAATTATTAGCTGACGCAATGTCTTGTGTATGGCATCCATAGGTTCTTTTGCATTTGCATTTGTCTCTGTCTCCCTTCAGCTCTCGACGCCAGTTGTGGATGCCACTGTGGAGGATGAGTTTCATTCACCTAAATTGAAGGCCTCTTCGAGTCCTCGACTCTGCTGAGACCGAGGAGGGAAAGGGGAAGAGGGATTATCAAAGGTCAAGGCGAGCTCGGCAGTGTTTAACGTCTGTTTTCTTAAGTTTGTCCATAATTGAATCCTCCTTTCTCCTTGGTGTCTGTCTGTTTTATTGACAGGGAACACATGTACACGTGCATCTAAAAATATGAATATTGGTGTTAATAAAAAGATACTTTTATCTTGTACATTATTTTTCTTCCGTTTTGTAGAATAAATGGAAATTTGAGATTGCACTATTGTTGCCTTTTCGCTTAAATTGTGTCGTTCCGTGGACTGGACGTTGGCTACTTTGGTTCATTCCTTTCGGTGACCAAAAGATTCGCGGCTTTTTGTACCGCGAATAGGACACTGGCAAGACGTGGAATGCGTCTCTAAGGTCAACTTGACAATCGTTAGTGTTTGCGCACTTCCTATGCACTTTTCTTTATAAAACCGGAAGAAAAGCGTGTAATATCCGTATTTGGGGTGTGGTCTTTAGCAGGAAGAAAGAGTTCGCTATCGAATTCTAAGGGCTTCCAAGTGACCCCTCTTAGATAGAGGGATAGGTAAAAGGGAATTTTCTCCAGCACTTGCTACTGGAAGCTTATGGAGGTGGTAAAAGTCGGTTGAATAAGGTCAGTTCAGAAGGAACTTCCCTTTTAAATTACTAGAAACACTTTCGAGATTGTTACTTATATTTTCGTTTTGGGTGGAAAAAGGACTATACTACGGTAGAACTACCATTGTTGTATCGCTATGCAAATATGCTTTTCTTTGTAGTTCTAGTTGCGTTGCCGCAATCTCTGACGGTGGTTGCAATTGGCATTGATAATTGAGCGCCCTTAGTCTTCTCACTAGGTAGAAGACACTAATTTGCACCGAATAAATGCATTCTGGGAAGGGAAGAGGGGATTGGGCTTTTGCTTAGGCTGAAACCCATTTCAGGTGTACACGAGCAGAAAGAATATCAAAGCGACCGCCGGGTGTTCTCAGAGCACATCCTGCGCCAGCCATCACAACGGAGAAACGCACAAGAGCCAGCTGAGCTAATCATCAGCTACTATGAGACTGAGGGATTGCATTTTGCCTCCTCAGCAGCTTCAAGTGGATCAGTCTGAGAGTGAGAATTGTAGAGAGGAGTTGCTGTTCAGCATCAGCAGTGCCCAGGATTAGACACTGGTACACCGATTATTAGCAAGGAAAACGGGATCAAGCATAGTATTGTGTGAAAATGTATTCGGCGCGGTGTCATCTCCGACACCCATGCCTCGATGGGGTAAGGGGATATCAGATAATAAATTTTTCAGATGGTTTAAGGTAGCATCGTTTTAGCTGATAATAATTGAGGCACGGGGATAAGGTAGAAACCAATAGGAAACACTATATTCGGTCCTTGATTTTGAAATGTTTAGATGTTTTGCATCGTTAAGATGTCAAAAATGTAAACACTAGGGTAGGATTCCTGAGGAAAGTCGGTTTAACTTATCTCTGTCTCCAATGTGGCGTCCCGAAGCTTCCCTTTAGGTATAAGTCATTAAGTTAGGCTGAATACATGCATTATGAGAAGAGGTAAAGAGCCTGGATTTTGGTTCGGCTCAAGGGTAAGGCGTGCACGCAGGATCCTGACAATTACTCAAGTGACTCCCTAGTATACGGGCAATCACATAAAGCATTACAGACCAAGTACCTTTGCGTGTAACTAAAGCAGATGCAAAGACTGCCATTCCTACGTGATGGTTACGAATAAAGAACTTGGAAACTCATACTTATTGTAGGTAAACTCATAGTTATAACTCATTTAATCATATTTTACTACCAGTTTTTGCCTATGCACAAGCACTTACTGCACTTAAATCTATGATTTAAATATCAACTTACCACAATGTTGCCTTTTATTAATTGCTATTTTTATATGAGCATCATCCTACAGCATGGATTTGCGGCGTTTGTTTTAACGGACTATTTCGCATGCAAACAGGATTTAAAGTACACCACTTGTTTATTTAAAGTTGCCTTCTATTATCGCGAGAACGTACCTATTATGAACAGAAGTTGGTTCGATGATATAGCTACCTTCGAAAGCACCTTTTCTGATTCTCAGCGACTGTATGTTGTGAAGAAGAGGAACGTCAGATATACACCTTCAGCTAAGGCACAGGGAGTGTCAATGCATCTGTGCAAGCGTAAACGCTCTCCCAAAACACATGAACAATCGAACAATATACCCATTACGACTGTAGTTCGTAATCCAGAACGCAGCGTTTGCATTGTTAATCAGGAAGAAATTGACCAATTTTTAAATCTGATCCGTAAATCTAAATCAAATTTTTTGTAGTATCATTTTAGTAGTTGATCCAGTTATATGTAAGTTTCTCCGATTCGACAGATGTTACAAATATGCTGATAAGGTGGGAGTTAATAAAGCAATCTATCTTTAGTATTTGTTGTCGATGACTTTTGTTTACTTTAAGCGATGCAACTTCGCTTTACATGAATATGTCCGGACCAATTTCTTCTGTTGCTTGTAAGCTTTACGAGTCAGCATTGTCTCGTAGATATCTTGCGCACGATATTGAAGAAGACGACGAAGATTTGAAATATGAGATCTTCCCTTGGGCGCTTGGAATAAAGTGGCGAGACAAAATTTCTTCATTCTTGCAGAGGAAGGAATGCCTTTGGGCGAGAATGAATTACAGAGCTATAGTGGGCGCCAAATGTTGCGATGATGTATGCTAACGCTTGGTCACCTCGAATTTCAGCTACTAACAATTTTTGCTTGCGATGAAATATCTAAACGAACTCGAAAGTCTCATCATGGTGGTGCAAAGCGGGCATATCTAAAAAGTCCTCTTTCCAATATGCCAAAAGGACCCAAATCAGCGCCTCGGTAACCTGAAATTTTACAACTTAACGTCTATTTGTAGAAAATGCAGTTTGTGTGACCAAGCTGGGGATAAGTCTGAACCACTCTCGATGCTTTCTTCCTTTTCAAGAAAATCATTCGGATATAATGATAGTGGTACGGATGGAGTTTATTCACAGGATGGCGAATCGTATGTGGACAATGAAGTTTCTTACGGAGATGAGACGTGGCTATCTCAAGAAACATTCACATCCGACAACAACTTTATCGTACTAACAGGCTAGTGTCATTTTTATTGAATGGTTCGAAATGCAGCAATATTTGATTTGAAAGCACCCGGCCAATTATAGATCGCCGAGATTTTATCTACTAGTGAAAATTTTTTTATACACAAAAGATCTGGATAGTTGCACTTTTACAGTGTTTCCATGTTCATGAGATAAACAAATTGCAGTCAGAAAATATATGGTTGTAGTTGAAATTTAGCTAGATTGCAGTAGCGGTAACAAAGCTGCCATTGTGCTGTCCTTTGTATTCCAGCAAAAAATAAAGAAACCAGCTTCGTGACTGGAGAGGAATGATTCAAGACAGATTCATTTTACGGTACCGTAATATTCTGTACTTTGTAATAATGCACTTTTTATACGTCTTTCATTGCCTTGTTACATGTTTTTAAATTCTGCATAACCAGTTTTGTGTACATACCGTCCGGCTTGTACAAAATATTGTTTAAATGGCCCCTTATATTGACTCTTTCTATCTTGCTTATTTGAATAAAATGTTAGTGAATCCAATATTACGGCCTACAATATAGTTCTACATGTCATCTTCTACTGCAAAACACTGGTCTGTCCGCGAGCATCTTTGACCCTGGAAACGTGAAATTAACAGATATTACTAGGCTGTTATTACACCAAAGTTGTTATCAACAGCAGAAATAATCATCACAGAGACATTGAAGAAAAAGAGAAAAACATAAGGAGGTTTTAATAAGGGCGAGTGAATTGCGTAGCAAGTAAGAAAACACTATTTGGATGGAAGTTTGCCTTTAAAAATAGAGAAAATCAACTAGATGGGAAAGGAGGGTTGTTCAACAATTACTTCACATGCAGAAGAATGCCTAATCTCACATGGAAACCAAAAGTGTATATTTGCTAAGAGAGGAGAGGAAATTGAAAAAGGGTTAGATTGGAGGGAGGTAGAGGGGAGCCGAAGGGCAGGATGGGACAGGGAGTTGTGATGGGGAAGTTGGCGGTGATGTTCTTTTATCGTCGTCGGAAGTACTCGTAGCGCTGCCGCATGCACACCCGACATCGACTGATTTCACGTAGAACGCCTCGGTCCCCATATGTGATCTCGCGCAAATATTGGCCCTGAGGCTTCTGGAAGGATGTGGTGTTCTGGACATGGCGCAGATAGTAGGCCTTCGCGTCGCTCCAGTAATTGCACAAACTCATTCCATTGTTGCACTCCAACAGCGGAGCATAACGGAAGTGCTCCAGACAACTTCCAGGCGAGGAAAGCTGCTGACCACCGCCTCCGTGACCAGCTGTATGCTACAAGCAATCGTTCCAATTATCACCAAAACCCAAATTGCCCCATCACTCTACCAACTAAGGAGAAACACCCCACGCCTCGATCTTTGCCAATAATCGAATTTGGTTTTCCTAAGTGTTTTGGACTTAAACAGGTGTCTAAGTCTCACCATGAAGAAACTGAATCCATTCCAGAGTTCGATCCAGTTCTCTGGGCAATGCACATCATCCAGGTTGCTAGTCTGACTGTGGAAAGCGTAGGCCTGTGTCGGAGCTTCGCAGATAACACAACGAGCCACCCTCTGACGTACAGCACTCACATCCAATGGCATCATTGGTAATGGCTCAGTTGTTGCTAGCCAGTAGGACCTGTCAGCTCGCACTCCCAATTGACAACTTCCATCACGAAGACACTGGAAGAACGGCATGATGCTGAACATTGGCAGACAAGAGCTATGAGAGCCTGTAGTTAAAAGGGAGCACAAAAAGCAGTTTTACTAATCTACAAACTTCAGACAATGATATGACTTAACGTTTCCGCAATAGACTTACCAAGATCCATGGTGGTAAGTTCACCGTTCCCGTTAGCCATGACAAAACTGAAACCTTCAGAGATGCGTTGAGAGCCAGCCGGACACTCGATAGGAGCGCTAGGATCTTGGAAGTGGCGGGTAAAGAGATAGGTACTTGCCAGCACTTGTCCAGTGGGCCCAGGAGGACCTGGTGGTCCAGTGGGACCGCGATCACCAACTGGACCTTGATACCCAGTCTCACCGCGGGAACCTTTGGGTCCCATATTGCCCTTTTCTCCAATTGGTCCAGGCTGGACACCTGGTTCGCCAGTTATGCCTCGTTCTCCCTTAGGTCCATCAAGCCCAGGCAGACCTTGTTCTCCAACCGGTCCTCTGGGCCCCTGTCTTCCGGGCTCACCTTTATCACCCTTGAGACCAGTTATGCCATCTACATCCTCCCCAGGTGGTCCCATGGGACCCATAGGTCCTTCATCACCAGCAGGACCCATGTCTCCTGGATCGCCACGAAGACCAGGTAGGCCTTTGGCACCCTTCTTCCCTGGACGTCCATCGATTCCACGACGTCCAGGTTCGCCGTCAGCACCTCGAGCACCATCCGGTCCAGGATCTCCCGGCTCACCTGGCCGTCCGTCCAAACCAGTAGGACCCGGATCTCCACGATCGCCTTTTGGACCCACTGGACCTCGTCGTCCCTTCAAACCACGTGGACCAGATTCACCAGGTTCGCCTTTATCGCCCTTTTCGCCTTTCAGGCCTGTAAAGTGTTGTCATTTGTCAGAATTATCGCGGTTGATAGCAATGATGTAAGGGTTATTCAACTCCACTGCGCATACCATCAGGACCAGGAATACCAGTATCACCACGATCTCCGGGTGGACCGGGAATCCCACGTCCGGGAACGCCTGGAGGACCCTGTTTTCCAACCTTTCCGGGTAGACCTGCCAATCAAATGATTATTGTCCTCATTGTTACCATTGCCCGTTCAAAGCAAGATCATCAATCTCATTTTTCACATACCAGGAAGGCCCTTTTCTCCAGTAGGTCCCATAGGTCCAATAGGTCCAGGTTCACCCTTTTGGCTAGAGGGGCCAGGAATACAGCGTCCAGGAGGGCCTTCAAATCCGGGATCACCGGTAGGGCCTATGTAGCCCTGTTCTCCTTCGGGCCCACGATCACCTGGAAGACCCTTCTCACCTGGAGGTCCGGGATAACCGGGAGGTCCATCAGGACCCATCTCGCCGCGTTCACCCTTGGGTCCAGGATCACCACGTTCACCTTGAGGTCCGGCTTCTCCTGGTGGTCCTGCAGGTCCCTCTTCACCCGGAGGTCCACGTTCGCCCTTCTTTCCTTGTGGGCCAGGAGGTCCACGATCTCCCTCATCACCGATCTCACCAGGACGCCCTTGAACAATGGCACCGAGATCGCCAGGATCACCACGAATTCCTTTTTCACCCTTTGGTCCAGGAGGACCTGGTCTTCCCTTTGGACCTCTACGACCATCGAAACCGACAGGACCTTGCGGTCCCGGAGAGCCCCGTGGTCCCTGTTCACCATCTTCACCCTAAAGAGCACCACTTTACTTAATAAGGCAGTTCTAACCAAAGACATAAAATCTTATTAAAATATTTGACTTACCCTGTCACCCTGTTCGCCAGGAGGGCCACGTTCACCCTTCTCACCAATTCCACCAGATTGTCCAGAAGGGCCAGGAAGACCTTTGTCTCCTGGCTCTCCTCGCTCTCCTTTTACGCCAGGAATACCAACCCCATCTGGTCCAGGCTCACCCTTGGGACCGCGTCGACCCGGACGACCAACGCTCCCCTTAGGTCCAGATGGTCCTCGTTCACCAGGATCTCCAGCTTCTCCAGGAACTCCAATCATGTCAGGACCTGGATCACCTTCTGGACCAGGTTCTCCAGGAGCACCTCGTTCTCCCTGTGGTCCTGAATTCGTTAGCGAAAAGTTAATTATCCAAATACTTTATCAAAATATCGAAAAATGATTCTCAAAAAGCACACCCATGGGTCCTAGAGGTCCACGCGGTCCAGGTCTACCCTTGGGTCCTTCTGGACCTGGAGGTCCTTGATCTCCCGGTTCACCAACGGGTCCCTCGGATCCAGGTATGCCTATTGGTCCACGTGGTCCCATTACCCCTTTGGGTCCTGAAAGGAGGAAGAAGTTAGGAATGAACGGGTTCAATACCTTTACAACACAAGTATCTCCTGTGTACTAGCCTTGAGGTCCCTCAGATCCTGGAGGCCCACGTTCTCCAGGTTCGCCAATGGGTCCGGGACGTCCCATAGGTCCAAGGGGACCTTGATCACCCTTATCGCCTTTTTCGCCCTTTTGAGGAATGCCAACGCAAGTTCCAGGCTCACCAGCTTCACCAGTTTCACCAATGGGACCTGAAGTATGGCGAAGTGGTCACAATAAAGTAATTTCTTCCGAATGAAAATAGTCGTTCTTTTATTATCAGTTCAGATTTTCCAGCGCGGGGATCAATTTCCCCTAACTATCATTTAGGTGAAGTCTCATATAAACATTTTTTGCTCGATAAGTGCAGAATAAAAGAGGTACAGAGCTCAATGGGAAAAATACGTATGCTAGTCGATTACGTCCGGACGCTTTTATCATAGCAAAAAATGGATGACTAACGAAACACCAATGTATGTGCAATTAAGCTACCACTGTCACCTTCCTACTAAGACCTTGTATTTCAAAAATAAGGCAACCATTACCTTCGCACGTTTCCACTTCATCTGCCACTTGTATTCTACATTTGTTCATGCAAAGTAGCTTTTGATAAGCTGTGGGAGACGAGGCGGTATCTCTCTACCTGAAGGTCAATCACTTTAACAACGAAGTTTTATGCTTTAAATTCCCACATTTTCTTTTAGAAAATGTTGTACTTCTTTTTCGGGAAAAAAGGAACTTGACAATGAAAAACTGACAGATTTCCACTCATTTGTAGCAAGCTATATTGAAAAGTGGGTTCCACATTTTGGTCACAATGGAATTGACGATGCTAAGACCCAGGCTGTTGCATTACTGTTTTGGTAAAACCAGAGGACCTCTGAACGACCAAACATGATAGGTAACCAACACAAGTGGTTCAGACTCACCAATGGACCCAGGCTCGCCAGGATCACCACGAGCACCAGGAATACCTAGGCCACCACTGGGGCCGGGTTCGCCTCGATCCCCCTTGGGCCCCGCAAGTCCAGGAATGCCCGGCAGACCGGGTTCACCAGGTTCACCTTTGGGAACGAGAAAAGCCAACATATTCCATAGACTATCTATTAATTTGATCGTGTTAGATCCTAAAATATTTCAATGGGGACTGACACATTTTACTTCAAAAGTTGAAACTAATTAGGAAGGTGGAATATTGGGACTTTCTGAGAAGATGCTGACAACAGATAAGGTATCAAAATTAAATGTTCTTTGCTATCAACTCACTCTCGGACACGCTTCAGTTTTCACTCATATATATTTTGGAACCAGTACCAGAGAGTTCCCTTATCCCTTGCATTTTCAAGGATTAGTGCGTTTTAAGGACAACTTTTGGGCATCGGTTAACTCGGTCGGATTAAAACTTGTCCTATAAGGGACACAAGCTTGTATTATTATGAAAATGCGTTCATATAGCCTTTAAATATGTCTGCTGAATCCTACGCTTTCATATCGACAGGATGTTAATAGAATACCTGATTAAAGGGTTAATCAAAAGGAGCAGTCACTTACCTGGTTCACCGACATCACCAGGTAGCCCTGTAGCTCCTGGTTCTCCGGGTTCACCCTTAGGTCCATCGAAGCCACGAGGTCCTTCAGCACCCTTAATTCCAATTCCTGGTCGACCCGGCAGACCTTTAAAGCCCTTTGGACCTTTTTATAAGAGTAAGGCATTATTGAGTTACTCTCCTTCAAAATCACAACGCATACTTCTTACAACTTAATCATACCTCTCGGACCTACATCACCTGGTGGACCAACTTTCCCTTTTGGTCCAGGTGGTCCAGGCAAGCCACGTCGTCCTTCTAATCCAGGCTCGCCGGGTTCGCCAACATCACCTGTAAGTAAATGAATCTTTGCTAACAGAGGTCAACAATGTCTGCATTCTGTAAAGCAGCTCAAAGCTCACCGGGTGGTCCCATGAGTCCTTTTGGACCTGCAGGTCCAGGCCAACCAGGCTGACCTTTGCTTCCGCGTCTTCCATCCTCACCAGAAAGGCCCTGAATACCCTGTTTACCAGGCTCTCCGGGAACGCCTCGATCACCACGATCGCCTTTTGGTCCCATCTCACCTCGCTCAGCTTAAAGGGAAGCAAACGTGTGGTTTTAAGTGTTTCGTTAATGAATCCGTCAGCTTTTCGCGTGATTCCACTCACTGGTCATGTTTTCGCCTCTCTGAACAAGAACAGTGCAATTCCCTGGATCGCCAGTATCGCCAGGAGGTCCGGGACGTCCCGGCATTCCAGGCAAGCCCTTTTCGCCTTTGATGCCCACAACCATACCGGCGGGACGGCCCTTCGGACCTCTTTCACCACGACGACCCTTTGGACCTGGACTTCCAGTAGGTCCAGCTTCACCTTGTTCACCCTAAATTGGTTAAAGCATTGAGATAAGGGTTTGGAGTGGAAAGTGATGAAAAATAGCAAGGGTTTCATCAACTAACAGGCTCTCCCATTGGTCCTGGTTCACCGGGTTGTCCGCGATCACCAGCAGATCCTCGGAAACCCTTTTCGCCTTCAGAACCTGGAAGACCTGGGTATCCCTTCTCGCCTTTGATGGTGTCGATATAATCAACCCGAGAGACCCCAGGAACACCCTTTATTCCCTTTGGTCCCATCAAACCACGCTCTCCAGGATCACCCTGAAAGAGGCCACCACTTTTGAAGCTAATGGCAAAGAGAGCAATAAATTATGCAGTGGCAAACTAGACGTACCTCGAGGCCACGAGGTCCTTGTGGACCTTGGTTGCCGACAGATCCAGGTTCACCACGTTCTCCGGGTGGCCCATCACGACCACGCTGACCCGGGGCCCCAGCATATCCAGGTTCCCCCTTTTCTCCACGCGGACCCGGTTGTCCAGGCTTGCAGACATTGCAGGGTTCGCCAGGAGGACCTTGTGAAAAAGAGAATAGCTTAGGCCATGAACAACGAAAGCAACGAAAGCAAACTATTCCTGGTTCTCAGCATTCACCTTGTTCACCCTTAGGACCTGGTTTGCCCGGTTTTCCATCAAGACCTGCAAGACCTTTCTCACCCTTGTCACCGGGTAGGCCAGGACGCCCTGTTCCTATGTTTCCAGGGGGACCACGTGGACCTTTAACACCTTTAGGACCACGGACACCTACGTAAAAACAGATTAGGAATATATATTCAGTTTCAACTCCATCAAAATGCCACCAGCTCAGTCAACTTTTCAACTCACCCTTTAGACCATCAGGACCTTGTTCTCCAGGATCACCAGGAGGGCCACGGATACCTCGTCCAGGTTCACCTGGATCTCCTTGAAGACCCTCCTCGCCAGCGGGACCTTGATAACCCTTGGGACCACTCCTTCCAGGCGGCCCAGGGTCACCCTTGGGCCCGCGAATTCCAGTGGGTCCGACTGGACAATCAGGACCAGTATCACCAATTAGACCTGCGGGACCTTGGAATCCCTTAGGACCTGGTTCACCACGGAAACCCTCACGTCCGGGGGGACCTCGAGGACCCTGTTCTCCAGGTGGACCACGTTCTCCCGGTCGGCCAGGCAGAATACCCGTACAAATACTATCACCCTGGATACAAATACGTTTTACCTTAATCTGCTTAGACTCAGCTGCAATGGGGCTAGTCCATACCAATGTCTTCAGTGATACCGATGCTTCAACTATCAGATGCATTTATAACCTAGCTACCATCGAGATCATATGCATATTTACGCCCTCTAAAGATGACTAAAGGGAGTAGTTTCATTGAAGTTCTGCAAATGGTACATTAATAGTTCCTTCTTTGAAGCCAAAAAGCCAAATTCAGACCCTTATGCAATCACTTGTACACCGAGAAAGAGATGTACTTACGCCTGGAGGGCCCTGTTCACCAGGTGGACCGCGAAGGCCATCTTCTCCAGGTTCACCAGGGAGACCTTTGGGACCTGGAGGACCTCTTGGACCGATCAAACCATCGCGACCACGAGAACCCTATTATTTCACAATGGGTCCAACAGATACAGGGAAACTTTCCACTTTCGAAGATTCCAACTTCACTTACCTTGGCACCAGTAGCTCCTTGTCGACCTTTTTCACCCTTGGGACCCTAGAAAACATGTGGAGGCCAAAGTTAATGGATATCACAATGTGAAGAGCTGAGAGCTTTATGAAATAATATATTTACAGGAGGTCCAGCCACACCAGGTTGGCCTTTTGGACCGCGTTCTCCGGCTGGACCAGCATCACCCTAGATGTTGGAAAAGGCAAAATAATTTACGGTCTGTCAAAGAAGTTGTCAGCTTAAGGCGACCTTAACTCACTCTCTCTCCGGGATCACCCTTGGCCCCAGGGAAGCCTTTCGGACCCATATCTCCCTGAAAAAATTGAGATTCATGATATTACCTTGTCCACTTCGAGACCAATAAAGGCTATTTTTCCGACTAAGCCAGAGCTCACTCGATCACCACCAGGTCCTTGAGTATCAATTGGTGGGGGAAGAAGAGTGGACGTCTCACAGTCGGTACCGGGATCACCAGGGTCACCAGGAGGGCCAGGCTCACCCTTGATTGGTACGTTGTCGACTAATGGATCTCCGGGATCACCAGGTGGGCCGGGAAGTCCAATTATCCCATCGGGACCCTACTCAAAAAAGCTAAACATTCATTCTTCAGTCTATTTACAGGAGGCTTTGGATCCCACCTTTCGGTCAAAAGTCCATTGGCTGAAGTTATGGAACACTTTGTCCAGTCAGGAACTTAGACCTGTATTACCTTATTCCACTCGAAATGTGGTTTAGCTATAACATTTGCAGCATAATGATAGTGTTTGAGGGGAAAGTTCCCTTACTACATTGTAAATAACCGTACTTCTAAAACTCCTGGCTGCATCAGTAAAGCACCGATTTCGCCATCGCACCATTGCTCTTACATATAAAACGGCTTTCTTCGATCAGAGAATGTCGGATTCAGTCAACAACAACTAGAATTCGGCATTCATACTAGCACTAAGAGCAACTTTAAATGAATTTGCAGTGATTAATGGACCGATCTAAACTCACACATCAACTTTAGTGCGGTAAAAATTATTGTAAACCTCAATAACTCTTAAGCAAAACTTTTGAAAATTTATATATTACTTTACTTCTTATCTTACTCCCAAATCCAATAATTTTACTGACAACATTGTTTCAATGTATCACCGAAGCAGGATGGAGGAATTGTTGCGTTGATGACGCCCAGTGCTCAAAGATTGGCTAAAGTCTAGGGCGCAATTACTCACTCGGTCACCAGAAGGCCCCATTGGTCCGATAGATCCGGGTGGACCAGGTCGACCTTTTTCGCCCTATGATCAAAACAAGGATTTATAAAGCTTCGAACCACTTTTTTAAAAAAAATAATGAGTCTTTATTTACTTGAATGCCAGTTTCACCACGATCGCCTTTTTCACCCTGAAGCGGAAAATTAGTCCGTTATACCGGTTGTTTAGGAAACAGAAATAAACTAACTTTGAAAATGATGTTTGCCTTCCTTTTCAAGGAAAAGCATACATCTTACGAGCTAAAATGAACACAAGAACCGATTTTATGGACTGATTCTACTCTACACATATTTTCATCTAAAATGGACAAAAGTGACATACAGGGGGACCCTGAGGTCCAGTCCCAAAGTCGCCAGGTTCACCTCTATCGCCAGGATCCCCAGGAAATCCAGGCGGACCATCAACACCAGGACGTCCAGGAGGGCCAGGTGGACCAGGATCGCCCTAGTATTGATGAAAATAAGACTTTGAACTCCACGCATTCATACTCAGAGCACATTCTTGGTCAGACTTTCCACTCACTGGAGGACCATCACAGCCTGGAATACCCACTTCTCCAGGATCACCAATTTCACCATTGTCTCCGTGTTGTCCATGTCGACCAGGGGGACCAAAATCACCAGGTGGACCCTAGAATTTATAGACAGCGTGGAAATCACTCAGCTCAGAAATGCGAATTTTTTACTTGCCCGTTCACCCGGTTCCCCAGGAATTCCGTCAGCTCCAGGTGGTCCTCGCTGGCCTTTGGGACCAATGGGACCCAATTCCCCGGGATAACCTTTGGGACCGGTAACACCCGGCAAACCTCGAGGTCCGGGAGGACCCTAAGAACACCTATTAAGCACGGCATTAACCCACCATCGGGCCCTGCGGCGCTACACAACGGCACTTATCGTAGTAGCACTCGATGTTACATTCCCAATTAGGATACAGTTGCTAAAAAGAAGGGGAGAAAGGTGGGAATGAGAACGAAATTTAATACGACCTACCGCTGTGGTAGTAGGTATTAGAGTGCTCAAGACCATGCATATTGTCGCTAAGACGCCGAGACCAATCAGTCTTCTGGAAACAGAAAAGCAATAATTGTTTTAAGGCAGCTAAACAACTGACTCACCCATTCAAGACTTGGCCTGCTGGCCAGATGTTTCTAGACGAAAGTCCCACCATCATTCAGGCAACGTCTCTAAATAAAATGAATCCTATGCATACTATTTACAACCTTAATAATTGAATAGCCAACATACGCTGAAAACACACACATCTGAACATGAGAAAGCATTACTTTTCTAGAATGAGCTCTTACACACAGACGTACAGAAGCGGATAGTGAGGGTCAAGGACAGAATAAAGTGGGTAAAGGATTGAGAAGTAGAGTACTTTGGATTGGACGAGAGAAGGGAAATTAAACAAGAAAAGCCTAGAAAGGGTATTGTCATTGAGAGTTTTGTTGATAAATTTGGGGCTGTCATTGCTGTTGATGTTGGGATGAATTCTTAGAAAAATCCTAAACCGGCATCTTCATGCATACTCGGCACTTGCTGACACTATCAACCGTGGGTCCATCTCCAGCTTTCAAGGTTAAACCGAGTGGCTTTGAGAACTGCTCCTCTGTGCCTTCTGGGATGGATCGGAGGTAATACACTTTTGCATCGCTCCAGTAATGACAAGTTCCAGCATTGTTATTGCACTCGATAACTGGAGAATACCGGAAGTGCTCTAGACAACTTCCAGGAGAGGACAACGGCTGACCGCCTCCAAATGAGCCAGATGTGTGCTGTGAGGCAAAAGAGGTATTAAATAATGAGTCCCTTTGATAAAATCATTCTTATCGGTGAGAATGCTTACAAGCAGAAGACTAACACCCGTCCACAGTTCAGTCCATGTGCTCGGGCATGGTGTAAGACTTCTGACTTGGCTATGGAAGGCAAAGACATGAGTTGGAGCCTCACAAACCACACATCGGGAAATACGCCCAGCCAATTCTTCAATTGGAAGTGGTTCCTCAGATCGCGGTTTCAGAGTAGCCAACCAGTAGGACCGTTCGTGCCGCATGTTAATGTGGCAGACGCTACCACTCTCACAGACAGTCATGGGGTGGGTGTTGAACCGTCGCATACACGAACTTGCAGTTCCAAGATCCATGCTATGAAGATAGTCCACACCACCACCCATGAGATAGCTGTATCCATCGTAAAGGAAACGCGTTCCTGCTGGACACTCAAATGGTCCCTCATCCGATTGAAAATGTCTAGCAAAGAGTACGTTGGAGTAGTTGGTAGGTCCTGGAAGTCCAACAGGCCCAGGAGGTCCCTGTTCGCCAGGAGGACCAGTCTCACCCTTCTCACCCTCCTCTCCGGCTTCACCCGTCTCGCCCTGATCTCCAGGAGGTCCACGAGGTCCCTCTTCCACTCCAGCCTGTCCCTTCTCACCACTGTCTCCAATCGGACCTTCTGAACCCGCAGGTCCCACTTCTCCTGCATCTCCTATATCACCTGGTTCACCGACCTCGCCATCATCACCAGTTTCACCGTTAGCGGCGTAGCCGGCAGCTCCCTTAGGTCCCTGTTGGCCTGGCAAACCCTGAGGTCCACTTGGGCCTGCTGGACCGTCTTCACCGCGCTCTCCACTGTCGCCAAAGTCACCTTCTTCGCCACTAGGCCCTGGTGCGCCATCTTCACCTGGAAGGCCTGGATTACCATCCACACCTGGCAAGCCGTCTTCCCCTTTGAGACCAGGTTCACCATCCCTTCCAGGAAGTCCAGGTTCGCCTTTATCACCCTGTTCACCCAATTGGCCCTCGTCTCCTGGATCTCCGACTTCTGGGGGCTCCGCTGGCTCACCGCTATCCCCGGGATCTCCCATGAGCCCTAAATATAGGAAATTCTATGGAGTGATGTTTACATTAACTGGTTTAGGCTTTCGCGAGTCACGTTCTTTACCATCCTCTAACATTTAACCCACGCTGATTATTCGAGTTTAAGATTTTTATGGATAATTTTTTTCTATCGCATAAAGTTGATTTGAATCGATGCGGTCATTAGCATCTTTTTTTCTACCATCGCCCTCCAGTTCTGCGTGTGGCATCTCTCAGGGGTTACGCAGTGGCACCCAAGGTCTTCAGTAACTTGCACTCTGAACTTCTAGGTGGACGTTGCTGACCTAATCCAGACATCTACTACTCATATTCCACCAAGATTTCTTAAAAATGTCATTGATGAAAAATTGAAGCGAAATAGCTAAATAGAGCATCAAAAGAGAAATGATGCAGAAAGAAGCAAAATGCTGTCAGAATTTCGCACAATGCGTGATAGCGTATATTATAACTCAAGATAAAATTTCTTGTAACGACTATTTGTTGGGTGTTAGCAATCAAACACTCATGGCAATTACCTTCGTCTACGAACGAATGATTGAAGTAAGGTTTGGCAACTGGTCCCCGCAATGAACCAATAAGAAAGCTGCGCGCAAAACCACAAATCACCGATGTCAAACCAAGTGACCAATTAGAGGGGAGAAATTGTGCACAATATGGCAGTTACTTCAAGGGCCTCAAATGCAATCTGGGTTTCAGCGTTTTTGAGTCTCAAATCCAAATTCAGATGGTTTTGAGGTGTTAATATTTAGAACAGCTGTCTGCGGGCTTCAACCATCTCATGAAAGAGGCTTGCCATCAAACGGACGATTTAGTAGTTCAATAAAGAGGTTGCTTCAATGATAAGGGTGAAATTTTTCTCGATTTTTTATAAAAGCGACCACTAGATTGAGAAGATGGCTCATTTCTTAAAAGCTCGGTGGCGCATTTTCGGGCTAAGCTACGCATTAATTACGAAGTGAACCCTTGTTGCTGGCCCAAATGCTGAAGACATAGAGCATTGAGTTATGATAAAATGAGGTGCAATAATGCAGACGTGTTGTTAAAATTGTGCGCTTGCTTCGCCACTAGGTTTACGAAATAGATCGCTAGCCTACAAGCTAGAATGCATGCTAATAAGTAGTATGCTCCGCCTTCACTTTTCAGCATCTAAGGCTTCGGAGAGGAAAGAGAATAACTTTGTTCCGCAAAAGATGAAGTTTGCTTAGTTGACCATTTTACGAAGCGAATATGTCAGCTACTGCAATTACCTTAGTGATTATCGTGAACTACCTACAAAAAAAACGCATAACACAACTTTACCTCAGAAAAATAGGTGAATCTGAATAATTGACAGACGCGGTATCACTTTAGCACTCCCTTTTCGCCTCAGAATCAACCTCCTGATGATTTGAAAGGCCATGCACAATCGAGGGGACAAATTCGGATCCGAAAATCGTAGCAGTGGTGAATCACAGACCGTAAATTATGAAAGCATCTGTCCTTTCTTCCTTTCAAACATAAAATTAGCAAATCGGTGACGGTAAGGTGTTTTTACATAGCTTGGCACTGTAGATTTAGTCGTGGGATGCTGGATAACATCTTTAGTTTGCTTTTAGTCTTTGTAAGGCTATTTTTCATTTGGACAAATTAAAGGCGCGGTAATGACTCACCAATGAACGATTGACACTTCGCCAAATAACTCAGTACTCAGCACCTACATGAGCAAGCTTGTGCTCAAAGGGATGCCGATGGATATGAGAAATGAAGTGCAGGAACTACATCCACAATAGGAAATGGGAAGATACGTTCCTTCATCATTGCCCCGCCGTCACTACCACGTCAATCAACCCGGATGGGCAGTAACAACTAAAGGCATCATCTTTGTGGCACCAAAATGGGATAGTGTTAGTCCGCAATGGCATACCGGGCCATCGAGATGCACATGTGCCCACTCACACACCGCGTCGCGCGCAGGGGGCGGGGAAAGGGTTGGCGAACCAATGGCCATACAGGTGTGCCTGTGTGGTTATCGCAAAATCAATAGCTCCAGCCGCATGTGTGTGCAGGTGTGTCTGCATGCGGCAGTCTTGGCAGAGACCGTGGGCACTTCTGCCTATGTACTACTCATGGCCACTTCAATATGGCCTACTCACCAGGTTTGCCGTGCGGTCCTATCAGGCCCATTTCGCCGCGTTCCCCAGGTGTACCCAGACCTGGCTTACCCTGCTCGCCCTTGGGGCCTGGAGCGCCGTCAGCACCTGTATTGCATACAGAGTTAAATTAGTGGTGATTAATCAGTGAGAACTTACACCTTCTCAACTTCTACTGATACCGACTCAACTAATAAGTGCTTCAAAACTATCTACTCTCATACTAGGGTGGAGATCGAAACTCGTATCTGTCTAGTTAACTTGAAAGCAGTGTTTGGGTGTATAAATGTCAAGTCTGCAAATTACGCTGGTCTCCTTAAGATCTAGGCTGCCAAGACAGCTTACTGACCAAAGATCAATCAGATTGATATTTGTCGCAGCCATCTGGCTAATTGATCAGTTTCTCTAAGCGAAGGAACGTTTCTAACTGCCAGTACTATTACTTTTGCTTTCTGTGTCCCGACGAAGTAATCATAGCCACAATTTAGGCACAGTAGGTTTGATCGCTTAAAGTGATGCTAAAATTTTTAGCTGCTATTAAAAAGTTACTGACTTTTTAAGAATTGAAACTAATCCTAAAGTAGGAAAGATCTGAAACCGCTAATCAGAACTGACCTGGATCACCACTCTCGCCTTTGGGTCCTCTAGGTCCTGGTGGACCAATAGTACCAATTTCACCATCGAGAGCACCAGGACATGTGATAGCTGCACGTCCTTTTTGACCTTTTTGACCGCGTTCACCTTTGGGTCCACTTATACCAACTTCACCACGTTCACCAACATCACCTTCCGGACCTCGCCTTCCATTCACACCTAAAATTGCCGTTCAAGGTGACGGGTAATACCAACTAAATGCCTTCGATACATAGAAATCAAAAGTGACTTCGAGTTCTAAACTAAAACCAAAAATTTATTTTGATTATTGATTTTAAAGACGGAATAAGTGAAGCGGTGCTACCTGTCCGCTTCAGGCATCACAGGCTCAAGCAACGTCTTTATTCAGTCCCACATCAAGTTGATGTCGAGATAAACACTATTTCCTAGGACGAATGAACACGAACATGAAGGTCAACTGACCTTTACACGGTGGTCGGTCTTAGGTCCATCCCTGCCGCTGAGGTGGAAAGATGAAGACGAGCGGAAGGCCTTAACCCCACATATCAACCTTGCTCTCCCCACCTACCCTGCCCCAGCACTGCAGTAACTAGTACGCGGTCATATGCGCTCACCCCTCCTCCGTCAGTGGTGCCATCACGATAAAGCCGTGCCAAGGTCACACTCTCGGTTTGTGTTAAAAAATTGGAGGTGACATATCTAACTGTGTGAGTTACAAAAATGTATTCGATCATTTCATTCTTTGCTTATCCAACAAAGAGGAGAAGCGTGGAATGCAAAATCAGCGTTGTTCGTTCATGATGGCTACATGCATTGCCTTTACTCAAAGGTCATTCCGATCTTTTGGATGACATCATCCACTGCATGCATAATTGACTTTAGTTCATAAGATTGAAAGGAGAAACAATGGAGGTGGTCTTTCGGCGTAAAAGCTATCCCACAATGAACGGTAGATGGTAAAGAAGGGAACGTACAGAATTGATTAAATGCCCTATTCTCTGATATTCAGGGTGGGTTATTCACATCCATAGTTCCATTTCAATTGATAATTTAAAGTATTTCGGGAATGACAAGGGATGTATCACCACCTAACATCTTCTTCTCATCCTACCTTCTTCCATCAAGGTGACATGAAGCCCGAATCATGGCGTATCCGTTACCAACCAACTATGAGAAACGTTGATGCGATAAAATAGCCGATAATTTTCGCATGATGCAAAGGGAAGTCAGCTCTATAATAATCAAAACTGAAAGGAAATGGAATGGGGATGATACGGTAACAAGTGAACCCACCTGGATGACCAGAGTCACCAGGTTCACCTTCGTCTCCGTCTTCTCCGTTATCGCCAGGCTCTCCAGATGGTCCAGACTCTCCCGGCGCCCCGGATTGACCCATCCTACCTAAATTAGATAGGTTTACCAACTTAGGAACTAACCCTCCTGACTACTTTTCCACCGTCTTTGGTAATTTAAGATACTTGCTATAACCTAGGATATTCAAGTTCTAAAATTGGCTAATAGATACAAATGACGTTAGCAGACTTACCGCGATCACCTTGGTCACCTTGTTCACCCTCAGGACCCATCTCGCCTTTCTTGCCAGGTGGTCCCTGAGGTCCAGGTTGGCCTTTGACATTGACATAATCCCCACCGGGCTGACCCTCATCACCTTGGTCTCCTTGTTCTCCCATTGGTCCATCATCACCTTCTTCTCCAATTGGTCCTTTGGAGCCCTGCATTCCTACTGGGCCATCTTCACCCATTTCACCCGTCTGACCTCTATCACCCTGAAAATTAGTTAACGGAAGGAATAGGAAAAGTACAATATGGGCAATGAGAAAATATGGTCAATAAAACTAACCTGTTCCCCAATAGGACCCATTTCACCGTCATCTCCAACTTCACCGTCTACGGGTTCTTCACCATCAGGACCTGGATCTCCAGATTCACCCTGTTCGCCCTGTTCTCCAGGTGGTCCATCCGGACCAACTGCATCCTTACCGGGCTCCCCGATTTTACCTGGTTCACCTTCAGGTCCCTGATCACCCATTTCACCCTTGAGACCAGGTTCCCCATCTTCTCCTGGAGGTCCTTTTGGGCAGGCTGCGGCTTTGCCTGGAGGACCCCTCAGACCTTTTGGACCGTAAGGTCCAGGTTCTCCAGGATCGCCTAACCAATTTTTAATACTTTTCAGTTCCGCCTTTAAAAGTTGGTAATAGCAATGCAATTCCAACCCACCTTTCTCAATCCCGGGTTGTCCTGCTTCCCCTGGATCGCCTCGTGGACCAGCAGGACCCTGAGGACCCCTGGGACCCTGTTCACCAGGAGGACCTTCCGGACCCTCTGGACCCTCCTCACCTACTTTTCCTGGTTCACCTTTTTCTCCAGGAGGACCTTGAATACCCTGTTCACCCTCTTCCATACTATCTGGACCAATTTCACCTGGCAAACCCTGTTCGCCTGGTAGGCCTACATCGCCATAATCACCAACGTCACCGGGTTCTGGTTGTGGTCCGCCGTAATCAGGCATTCCCGCGATATCACAGAAGCCTTGGTCTCCTGTGGGACCCTTGTAGCCTTGAGGTCCCTGTTCTCCCTGTGGACCCATCTCACCCGGTTCACCAGCCTCACCAGGAGTGCTGGGTTCTCCAGGCAATCCCTTCTCACCTGGAGGACCCCGTTCTCCCTCTTGTCCTTCTGGGCCAGAGGGGCCAGGATCACCTATATTGAAAGGAGAGGTATTAGTAGAGTAATTGGTCAATAAAACTTCACTACTAATAATTGAGTTTGTAGAATAGACTACCTCTTGGTCCAGCTTGTCCCTTTTCACCCATTAGTCCATCTGGACCAGTGTCACCAGCTTCTCCGGGCATACCAGGCTCACCAGGACCTCCTCGAGATCCAGGATCGCCACGATCTCCAGGTTCGCCTAGAATCAAATGAGTTGAGGAATTGCTTCGAAATCTGACACTAATGAGGCTCTCGAATAAGGCTAACATTTGCCTACCCTTAGGACCCCGAATCCCGGTTTCACCAGCATCTCCTGGTTCACCCTCTGGTTCTTCTCCACGAGGTCCTACCTTGCCTGTAGGACCGGGGGATCCCTGTGGTCCTCTCGGTCCTCTGTCACCAACAGGTCCGGCAGGACCAACAGGACCCCTGTCACCACGCTCACCGAGTTCACCATTGCGGCCAAAGCCGCCTTTCTCTCCTGGGGGTCCTCGGGGACCTTCAGGGCCTGCCTCACCTTGGTCTCCCTTTTCGCCTTTTGCGCCGAGCAAATCTATTTAGAGATCAGGGAAAATTGCTTTAAGAAACATGGAAGGTCTAGACCTCATTGTTTATAGGGGTTAAGTACAAGATTTGAGTCAACATTGATTTAATGTTGATTTCAATGTGTTGAAAAACTTTTGCAGATGTGCTAAACAGTTTAAAGGCCTGATTTAATAATACTATTCTTCCTATTTGATTTCTATAACTGTAATGCTCTTTAAAATACATGCTGAACAGATCAAAGCCGTTTTAACTAATGACCCAGACTGAGCCAAGGCATCGATTCGACCGAGTTCTAAAGCCTTCACTATTGCTTGGTAGTTTGAAAGTTAGCAGTTTTCTCACCAAGAGTATTCTGAGCAAGTTTACTGTCAACAGCAGAAACACAGGTGCCCAGACTTCCGTCGACACCCTTAATGCCTGGTGGTCCTCGCGGTCCATCGTCTCCAGGCTCTCCGGGCGCTCCAACAACATGTTCTAGGTCCTCCCCCGGTTCTCCCCGTTCTCCCTTCTCTCCAGGAGGGCCGTTATCTCCTATGGAACCCTGCCTTCCTCTTTCACCCTGCAGAAGTACAAGAGTTAATGGAATAACTCTCCACAACCGTGGAAGTCATTTTTCCTAGCAGAGTCAGCAAACCTTTCGACCAGGTAGGCCAGCAGGACCTTCATCGCCTTCCTCCCCTTGAGGCCCACGGTCACCAGCTTCACCTGGAGGTCCTACTGACCCCTCATCACCAGGATCGCCTGGTTCAACCTTCTCTGGAAATCCTTCCACAATGTATGGATCTCCAGGTTCACCAGCTTCACCTGGATAACCCGGCTCTCCTCTAGGTCCCTAAAACGAAAGCGTCTACACTTTAATTAATACATACAAGGTCAGAAAGATCAGTCTATCCACCAATTTTTGCTGACCTTATCGCCATCAGGGCCATGAAGACCAACAGGACCAATTGGGCCATTGGGACCTCTGAGCCCATCTATTCCAGGTCGTCCATCTTCCCCTGGAAGTCCATCCTCTCCCGGTTCTCCCATTTCACCTTCAGGACCTGGTGGACCATCTTCACAACGTGGACAGTTGATTGGGTTAAATGGTTCGCCTTTTTGAGATAAAAGAAACCGGATCTTTGGAGGACAATGTCACCATGAACGTGTCATTAAGCATTGAAACCCCGTGAAATAACGTCCAATGTTGAATATGTGTTTACTTGTCTCAACCATGGTTAAACTATTTTGTGGACTTACCTTTCTCTCCAACTTCACCTACATCACCGTCCTGCCCTTGTTTTCCTTCGTTGCCGCGTTCACCAGGTTCACCACGGGGCCCATCAGGGCCAACTCTTCCAGGAGGACCTTTGTCACCAACATCACCAGGTTCGCCAATGTCGCCTGTGTTCAAAAAATAGAACACAACGGAAACTTTCTTATTGTGCCAGCAACACATAAAAAAGAAGGAAATGAAGCTTTACAGAAGTAAGTACCTGGAGGTCCTTCTTGACCTTGAATTCCCATTTCGCCAGGGAAACCCGGTTGTCCAAAGCCATCGATTCCATTAATTCCAGGTGTTCCAGGAATGCCGGGTTCACCCTCTTGACCCGGTGGACCATCCACACCATCCTTTCCTGAAGTCCGAGTAAAATATATTTTGAGGCTGATCAAACCCCTAAAAATAGACCTTTGTGTTTCTTAACACAAGAACCTATCCATCCAACCTGATGGAGGCCCATTTTCATGCGCATGCATCGCAAATTTGAGAGGGTTAATGCAGCAACAACACATAAGTTCGTTCGGTATTTTCGGCAGTTAAAAAAATTCTTGAGAAACAAACAGCTTCAAAAAAAGTATTGGGGTCGTTAGTCTGAAACAGTGGCAATGGTTCTTTTAAGGCATCAATAAGTAAGGAGTGCATAAATCTTCTGAAAATGCAAATTTATTAGGAGACGAGGGAAGGGACGAAGGAGAAGAAATACGTGTTGTTAGTTCTATTAAAAGTACAACTTTGTCACTAATTAGATGTAAAAAAAACAACAACCGAGAGTATAGGGACAGAGTACAAAAAAATAGGCAACACGTTTTACTAAAGGTGGCTTATAATCATTCCCTGCACCCTCTCTAGAATAACATTGCTACATCAAAGAAACAATGTTTCCAAAGCCTTACCAGGATCACCACGTTCACCCTTTTCGCCTTGAGGGCCAGGAACACAGGCTTCACCCATTTCTCCATCAGGGCCCTTGATACCTTGGTCTCCAGGTTGACCCTTGGAACCTTTGAGACCTCGTGTTCCAGTGATACCACGAATACCCTTTGAACCCTCAAAACCGGGTTGACCCTTCTCGCCTTTTGGTGTAGATGTGATCTCACATTCCCAGAGCTGCACACAACAACAGCACCTGCATTACTAACGGCGAGTACCCAATCAGCTCCTTGTTCTTAAAAAATCTATTGAAAAGATCTAACCCACTTTGGCTTCGCCTGGTGGTCCAGTTACTCCTTGAGTGCCGTCTCTGCCAGGGATTCCACGTTCACCGGGAGCACCTTTTGGCCCTGGAATGCCCTGAGGACCATCCATTCCTGGATCTCCCTAAACATTACCCCAAAAACCTTCCATTGTTTTATTTCAGTAGCTCAAACAACCCCCGTAATTGTTCTGCAAGAAGTTCTCACCGATTCTCCATGTGCACCCTCCTCTCCCGGTTCACCAGGTTCACCCTAAAATAACCCAAATTGTATGGAAGGCCTGCGCTTGGTAGTAGAGAGGAGATCAAAGCCAATCTAGTAAGTACCACTTCTCCAGGGTCACCCCTTTGTCCTTGTTCTCCTGGTTCACCGGGATCACCCGGAAAACCTGTTAGTCCGACTTCCCCCTTAGCCCCAGTTTCACCGCGCTGGCCTGGTTCTCCCTAAATATGTAAAAAATTGTTTTCTTCTTTAACAAGTTCCACAAGCCGTCTGGTCCAGTGTTAGTTCAAACAGCAAACATAACTTTGATTTAGGATTCACAACATTTTTTATTCCACCGCAGCACTAAACAAACATCACAGTTAGTAAAACGTCTGGACACCACTGCGGAGAAAGAGGAGACGAACTTTGTGCCAGTTCCTAAATGTCAAAATCCTTTTTTAGTTGCTACCATAGGAGGCCACTTTGTTGTAGACAAAGTCTAGCATTTACCTGTCTCCACCTGTCTATCATGTCAAGTTCCTGTCACATTATTCAGGAGCATTTCCATGCAAACTAGGCATTAAAAGTCGCAAGTGTGGTCCACCAACAGTCGCTTCAAAGGTGATTGATTAATGCATTGAACCAATAAAATCACAAATGCATAAATTAAAGATTCAACTACTTTAAGCAGCTCTTTGGGAACTTATTGATGAGCATTTACTCGTTCACCAGGGGGTCCGCGTTCACCGATACCAATGATGTCCTCGAATTTGACTTCAGGGCCACAGGGAATGCCGTCTATGCCTCGAGGACCTCTTTCACCCTTGTCTCCACGAAGGAGATTGAAAATGTAGGTCCCATCTGGACCGGGTGGCCCCTGTACACCTGGTAGACCTTTCATACCCTAAAAAGATCATAAAGACATCTCAGGAATTGGCCTTTATCTCCTCCATTTCATCGGATGGTTGAAAACATTTTTAGCTGTGCAATTTGGCTCCCAACAGAGCGTATGAAATTCCTCCATATTTACGAACCTACTTCTACCTGATGCCACTTGTTGCACACACCAGTACTGACAATTGACGCCTTTTATGGCTTTAAAGTTGGTGCGCTGCTATCATTTGACTTGGTCAGACTGCACATTCTCAATTTGTATAATTGCAATTTCTTTCAGTTTCGTAGACGCGCGCTCCTTGTTTCACTCCATCTGGATTCGGGAGATGTACAGATCGTTTAATTAGAGCGTTATTAACACAACGCACACTAAAAGTCTTAAAAATTAACCACTTGTTATCTTGGCACATTTCAAGCAACTTAACACCTCCTTACATGATTGAGGATTGTGTTCTTCTTATCTTTTCTTTTAATCCAATATTCTACCAACCAACCACTATAGTCCTACAAACATCGACGAATCGTCTTAGCTACGTACATTCCCCGTCTTCCCAGACTGACTTACCACTGGATGTACTTGGTAGGCATGAAGTTAAATACTTAATTACCTATAAATAAGTGTGTTTACATAAAAGTGGAACATTGCACTTCATTTTTCACTCCTTTCCAGTCAGCTGTTGGTCGATCGCTTCGCCTGCCAATCACTTTTTGACTAATAAAGCAGAGTTCCTTAAAATCTGCTCTTTTGATATCTTAGCAAAAGTTTCGAGCAGTTTTTGAATGTGTTTGTTTGCGGTTATTACTTAGCTGCTATCGCACTGCCAATTAAAATAACTTTATAATTTTACCTTTTCGCCTTCTGGACCCCGGGGGCCAGGTAAACCCTCTTCTCCCTCTTCACCTTTTTCTCCCTAAAACGGTAAAACAGTAGAGCAATTGTTCTATCGTAAAATACCAAAGAAGTGAGCGAATTCACTACAACAAACTTACTCGTTCACCCTGCTCCCCAGTGTCCCCTCTCTCACCCTCAAAAGTAAAAAAAGTGAGCAAAATATTAATCATTAGCATCAGAAGGGTAATTTTCCATGAAAAGTGAATAGTTAATTTTAGTTACAATTAGGAAACAAAATAATGCTTAATCTATAAGCTCAAGATATGGCTACAGAGTGATAGTTTGGCCAAAATTTGTCAGGCTAAGCGCCTATGTCTCAATCGTCTACTTGCCACGTTATTTGTGGCATGGCTGCAAGCACGCCTCATGCAACACAAGCAGAGATTGAGGCCATGCATTATCCTCGTGACTCAGGGGGTCCAAATAGGGGGGACCAAAATTAAGCATCTGAAGGCCTACATCTTCACCCGGTGGACCTCCGTCCATTGAACAAGTTGGTCCCTTTTCTCCAGGCGCACCGGGTTCTCCCGGCAGTCCATCTGTCCCGTTTCTTCCAGGTGGTCCATCAGGGCCAGGGATACCCTAGATTAATCAGTTTTGGGATTCACGAAACGCTGTTACCCTTGGGCCTTCACAACCTGTTTCACCTCTGGCACCCTTCATGCCTCTCACGCCGTCATTACCCTAGATGGAGCGATAATTTCTTTGACTAAATGGAGGACCTACTGTTAATCCAATGGTTCCAGCTAAGCCTTGAAGACCTGGTGGACCCTAAACGTGGATAAAACAGTAAGGTTAAGGAAGTCACCAAATCACCTGTTCACCCTTTGTACCCTCTGGACCGCGTAATCCGAGAGGGCCACGGTCACCTCTAGAACCCCAAAATCCTGGAGGTCCTTGTGATCCAGGTGCACCCGGTTCTCCGGGAGGACCCCTAGGTCCCCTTGGACCCTAAAATGGAACAGAAAGGCGGAAGAATGGTACCACACCTAAAGTTGGAGAACGTTTAGTCTTATTCCTGAATGTGAATGATGAACGTGGGGTCTCCCTCTGATGCTATGCAAAATAATTTATTTGCGGTTATTTGTGTCAAAACAATAAATGAGCCCGAAAAACAAACGTCCCGCTGTCAGGATTGACTGAAAAAAACATCCCACTCTTCCAGGATTTCCACTCCTATTAAGTGTGGTAAGATGTATGTCAGTGTCTAGCTCGTTTGATGTTGCCTTCAGGTTGACCGCTAATGCTGCCGAACCTGTACTGATCGAGGCGCGAATGAAAGCGGAAAAGTGCGAAAAACACCCAGTGGACAGGGTAAACCAACGTTACATGCAAATACAATGCGAGCCATAAACGCCAGTAGTAGTAGTAGTAGTAGCTGTTGTTGTTGTTGTTGTTGAGGTCATTTCAAGGGTTAGCTTTTATTCAACTAATGGTGTCTACACGACATTCCAGTGCCGGTTTTACTTTGGGCGGTTCACCTTCATACCCAAATAAGAGTGACCCAGCCTCTACCTCCCTCTCGATTGAAGACATCAGAGGATGCATTTTGCTAACTTTCGCAAATCAGGTTATGGTGAGACAAATGGCTAAACAAAGTTTTGTTTCCCATCCCCGTATTATCTCCTGAATTTTATGAGAATTCATTTAGTACGGGTAACATCTGTGAGTGGCAACTAAATACCATCTCCTGGATAAATAATTTTTTTTACAAAAGGAACAAAGGAGAACTGATCTAAAGGCACTCACCATCTCGCCTTTTATGCCTTGGCAACTGCAGACGTCTGGAGTGCAGAGTTCAATGCAGCGTGTGTCGTTCCTCTCCTACAAATTATTCATTCTTCTCTCACAAAAAAAGGTAAAATAAAGAAGTCTTTTTAAAGCATCTCTAAGTTTTGCATAAAAAAAGAAGGAAGGGGAATGCGCACTGTCAAACGTTTAGCATTTAAGAGGCCTGACCTTTAAACAAATTCATCCGCCTGGCTCGTCTCTATCGGCCGAATTGACTAACAGTTGGTACAAATGAGTGTAAACCAAGTAACTTTCCAAATCAACTCGCCAGAAATTTAACTACCTCCTTTGAGACGGTTTGACTGGCCCATCAGTCGATCTTCTCCCTCGCCCCGCTGGGCGCTCATGTAAGTGGTCTTAACATATTGCGCTCATTCAAAAGTCTCCCATCGAGTCTTCCACTTATTCTTTACAGTGCAATTCCATTTAATTAGGAAGAAAAATCTGGATGAATTTGAGTTGTGTAGCGTAGTTGCATTACATGATTTAGCAATTTAGTTTAAATGTTGACACCTTCTTTATCTTTAAAATATAGCTCCAAAAGACTTACCATATTTTCATTTTTGATGGCTAACCTTAGCAAGTGTGTTATTTACTTTTTTGTAAGAACCATTACCACTTTAAAAAATATAACAAAGGGCGGTCTTACAGTGAACGCAGCATCGAGTAGGAGAGTCACCAGTATGAGCACTGAAAACCGTAGGCTAAAACAGGCGATATGACATATGAATGCTGGCTACAAAAAGAGGACGTGTGCAGTTTTGTGTGTGTGTGTGTGTGTGTGTTACGGAAAAAGAGTTAGACGAATAGACAAATGGATGGATAGGTGTGCAGGTGGTCAGAGAGGCAGGTGGGTGGACTAGGGTTCAGGCAAAAACCGATGTTTCTTAAACTTACGCTTGCATTACCACACGCACATTCACGTATCAAAAAGGTATGCCTATGCTTTTTTAAAGTGCACAGTACACACACAACCCGCCTAAGGTAGAGAAGGAAGGTGGATAGGCGACCAAACGTCTCATTACCACTCTGCCTGGTGAAGTACACATAGATAGAAACCATTGAGGGGGACAGAGGAGGATTGAAGACAAAGTGTAATACTTACTCATTACAACTCATGGTGCTAATTCCCAAATAAGTTGGTGCTAAGAGCAGTTCCTACTACCACCACAGTGTCGTCGACAGTAGCGGCAGCAGCAGATGCGGCAGTAACAGCAGCCCAAGTTGTAGATATGCACACAGAAGTTGGGTGTGTGTGTGTGTGTGTGCGTGTGTGTGCCCATTCGCATGTCTCTCACACTTCCATTCCCTTTTCCCTCTCACCCCTCTACCATTGTGTGTGCGCGTGTGCGTGTAGCTGTGTGTGTGCCGGGAATGGGTTCAGAGGAGGGTGGAGTGTGTGTAGGGTGTAGGGCGGTAGGAGGTGGAGGGGTCGTCTGGCCTGCTTACTGCTTCAAGCAAAAGCTAAGGAGGCAAATTAAGAAACACGGGCTCTTGGGTGCGCACACACCCACGTCCACAGTCCCACCTACACATGCGCAGCTGTTGGGAGAAATGCGTAGAAAAAGGGGGCTCGTGATTAATGCATGAATGTGAAGTGGGCAAGCACAATCAATGTGCACCAGTAGTGATGCAGAAGTCCAAACGACTAACGGAAGAGGCACAAAAGGTGATCCCTATTGATAGGCTCGATCTGTGCTTAGCTTGGCACTCACACAAGTGTGGCGAGCGGAACTTTCACCGGTTGCCACAATCAGAGCGAATAGCAGTTTTTACAATTTAAACATAAAGTAAAACAAGGAGAGTAAATTATTTAACAGTTATTAATGTAAATAACTTACGTCATGTTTTCTTCTCGTAAAGTTGTCTTCCAATATACAAGGATGACTTATTGAGTGTCAAAGCCCTCACTCACTGGTTCCTTCTACCATATGCAAATTTCCTTTACCTTCTACACAACTAATCACTACTTCTCCTCTTCAGAGTGGAATATTGTGACTGTTTCAAAGGTTACAAGCGGGTAACAACAAATCCCTTCTTATAGCTGAATTAAAAATATGTAACATTCATTGTTCCTTCACAGTTAATTAGCTATTTTGATCGGACCTCTAACTGTCAACAATAAACCATTTCACTCTCCTCATTTCTGCCAAAACTATTCTCCACTGACAACCACTCAACGTATTTGTGAGGTCAAAATAAGGCAAGACTTAAGAGTCAATCACAGTGGGGTGGGATGAAAATATCAGATGAAGAGTAGTTCTGTTGATACGTCAAAAGTAGTGACAAGACTTTGAAATTGTCTAAAGTGTACGCATTTCTGGGTCGAATGTTCGGTGTCTAGGAAGGCGTGATGGACTTTTTCCAGACGACAGTCCTCCCGTAGTGATGATTTACATCCGTCTACCTTGGCTTTCCAAAAAGTCTGTTTTTCCAATTTTTGGCCAAATTCATTACTTCTGTAGCAGGAACAGTTGGGAGATCCATGAAAACAGAAAATTGTAAAAAGTACGTTTTGATCATAAAACCACTTATGGTTTAGGAGCGTCCTGTTATGGGTTCTAAGGAATGCCCACATCTCCCCCGCCGGTCGCAGTGGGCGAATAACAGTGATTGATGCCTAACTTTTAGGCGCCGCAAGGAGTGGGAATTCGCAGGTGGAGCTGAAATAAAAGCCTCATGATTTCCTTCTGCACAAAGAAGGGAAAAACTCATGATACTAGGGCAGAGGATATGATTACCTTTCTCATTTCTTTTTCCTCGGAATAAGTGGTAATTGGATGGTTTTGCACTTCAAATGAGTGCTAATGCTCTTGAAAATCAACACTGAGCGATCTCAGACAAGTTGCAGGGCGTGATAGCGATCCCCACGTTCGAGAGTGTTTTGGACCTTTGGAGAACGCCGATGGAAAAGCCAATTTTAACTCGAGTGGTTGTAAACCTTTTATTCAGTAAAAGGGAGAAGCGGTGTGGGCAATTAATCGCGCTAAAATATAATGTTTTATGTTCTTCACCATTTCCTGTTTTACGCCACTTTCAAAGGTGCAAAAAGATGAGGGAATTTAAGAAACCTCTGCATTGTACTTTCACTCCAAATGAGTTAATGAGGCTACCAGGTGGTCCCATAAATTTCTTTTGCTTATGGCGCCCCACAATTTATTGACGTAATAAAAGAAACTCCCTCCAGCGCCTTTAGCGAACTCTCCAAAATTTCTTCATTCCAAGGAACGCACATATATGGCCTTAAGTGATAGAGATGGAGCTCCTAGTGGCGACTTCACTCCACCACTTTGTTGATGGAGACAGATCTAGTGACCAAAAAATAAAAGGTAATGTGTCATTTGGTTAGAAATGTGTATTTGCTGGTAGGAAGCACCAAGGTACTGGCTACTAGGGGGTGGGTGCGTGAGGAAGGCAAGCACGACACAATGCGGCATCTCCATAGCCATTCCCTCATTAATGGATGAATTAGGTACTTCCGCCTAATGGGCTATTGCACTTTTCGTGTGAATGTTCTCCTCTGCAAGCTGTCAACATTACGTACGAGGCGCAGCATCGTGACACGTTACATGCAGGATTGCATGAATGTAGAGCCCACATGACTTTGTTCAGGCAAACGTAAGACGAGTGGAGGTATACTTCCATGGAGTTGAAAACTTGGCCTTCAAAGAGAATTTGGATGTCATTGAGGTTAAGAATCCCGGGATCGGACAAAACCTTTAAAGTTAAGGCGTCTTGAATAGTGTTGTTGATTCGTCATTCCCTTTTTATAGTCCTCATGAATGGCTACTATGTCAAAGGCACCTCATCGCTAGGAAAGCAAGGACATTTGGAAGGTAAAAGTGTGTGGGATTGAGATTATACCGTGCCTTCAACACCCCTTACCAGCTACCTAGTTCCCCTTGATTGCTCAATATTGTTGGCAGAAGAAGGGTTCTTTGTCGAATTATGGTTTTTAGCATAAGAAGATTAAGACTGGCATTTTTGACAATGCTTTGGGTCTAAATATTCAAACTTGTGGTTTTTTCTTAAACACTTGCATATTTCTCTAAGTTGGCACGGTCAAACGGCATGGAGGGTCTTCAGCCTCTCTCCCTCCCTCCCTCCCTCCCTCCCTCCCGCCCCTTCTTTAATTAGTAAAATGGTGCCCTCGCATCCGACTGTTTCAGAAAGCAGTTGTTAAGGGCTGTCAAGTAAATGGAAGAAAATGTCAGAAATGACTTTAAACAGTGTCTGGAAATTCACTTTTTGGGTGATGGAATTCTCCTTTCCCGTTATATGGAAACAAATTTCACTAAAGGATGAAGGAGGAACAGATCGAGCATTGGTTCTGGCCTGTATCACCTGGTGCCAATCCATCCACCTCGCTCCCATCCATCCTGCACCTGGCCAATTCATAAGATGCCTAATTAGTAATCCATTTGGGAGAAAGCATTCAATACGAACACCCAACTACTTGTTAAAACAAAAACAGTTGAAGCACACACAATGAGTGGGAGAAAGCAGGAAATAGAATAGACTAGAGACGGGAACTGTCATCTTTTCGATACGTCTGAACCCGAAAGAAGCCCACGCCTTGATGACTCATTATAAATGTAGGGCCAGCGCAACCGCTTTCAGTTCAGGTCCATTCCTTCCCACCGTTGTGAATGCTCCGCACTCCAAATGCGAAGGCCTGGATACCACCACCATCCTTGCATCTCTATGCAGACAAACCCTTTTTGACCTGCTTGAGGGATAAAGGAGGGAGGAGGTACAATCATCCTCATTACTCTATAATTAACGCCTCAGTGTCACTTCAAATTTGCAATTTTCAACCTGATTACTTCTTCTCTTTTTCACTTTCGTCAACCATCTTCCCATTGAAGACGTCAGGGAAACTAAGTGGCTAACTACATCCATTTTCGCCTAGTTCTTTATCAACAGAGATGTAGTTAAAAAACAGAGCAGAGACCTCAATC